ATGTTTGGCTGTAAGCACAACCCCCACCTGTGGACGTCGGGCCCTCATACCACACTCATGGAGTCTGTTTCTGACCGTTTGAGCAGACACATGCACATTTGTGGCCTGCTGGAGGTCATTTTGCAGGGCTCTGGCAGTGCTCTTCCTGTTCCTCCTTGCACAAAGGCAGAGGTAGCGGTCCTGCTGCTGGGTTGTTGCCCTCCTCCACGTCTCCTGATGTACTGGCCTGTCTCCTGGTAGCGCCTCCATGCTCTGGACACTACGCTAACAGACACAGCAAACCTTCTTGCCACAGCTCGCATTGATGTTCCATCCTGGTTGAGCTGCACAACCTGAGCCACTTGTGTGGGTTGTAGACTCTGTCTCATGCTACCACTAGAGTGAAAGCACCGCCAGCATTCAAAAGTGACCAAAACGTCAGCCAGGAAGCATAGGAACTGAGAAGTGGTCTGTGGTCACCACCTGCAGAACCACTCTTTTATTGGGGGTGTCTTGCTAACTGCCTATAATTTCCACCTGTTGTGTATCCCATTTGCACAACAGCATGTGAATTTGATTGTCACTCAGTGTTGCTTCCTAAGTGGACAGTTTGATTTCACAGGAGTGTGATTGACTTGGAGTTACATTGTGTTGTTTAAGTGTTCCCTTTATTTTTTTATATATATATATATCTCCACTGAGGAAAATATAGGTTTTATACCCAGAACATACATGAAAACGAGATAAATCTCAGTGTATCCATCCTGGTAAAATACACACACACACACACACAACTGCAGTTTTCATGTCTGCAATCTTTGCAAGGCCTCCCCTTCTTCCCCAGCCAGTCACAGGCTTCTCAATACAGCTCAGCGTGATGTCTTTACAAGGGAGGTGCTCTGAGCAATTTCCTTTCTAAAAATTTAGCAATGAGATAAATAAACAATAGGAGTCTGACAATTAGGGGGTGTAACAATGATAGAAATTGGCACTTTTATTAACTATTTCATTGGAAGTTAGCAAATGTTGTGCCCATTCACAAGAAAGGTAGTAGGGATGAGTATGGCAACTATAGGCCAGTAAGCCTTACTTCAATAGTGGGGAAGTAATGGAAACCATGTTAAAGGATAGGATTATTGAACATCTAAAAATCACATGGATTTCAAAATCAGAGACAATATGGGTTTACTTCAGGGAGATCAACTAATTTTATTGATATTTTGCTTGGGTAACAAAAAAAAAAAATGTTAAAAAAAAAATTTGATCAGGGTGGTGCATTAGACATCGCTTACCTAGATTTCAGTAAGGCTTATCAAACTGAAGTCTTTAAGTTTGGATTCCAATATTATTGAATGGGTAAGGCAGCGGCTGAGTGACAGACCGTTCTAATCAAAGAAATATAGATTCAAAGCATGGGCTTATCACGAGTGGGGTACCTCAAGGATCTGTATTTGGACCCATTCTCTTTAATATTTTTATTAGTGATATTGCAGAAGGTCTTGATGGTAAGGTATGTCTTTTTGTTGATGATACTAAGATATGTAACAGGGTTGATGTTCCAGGAGGGATAAGTCAAATGGCAAATGATTTAGGTAAACTAGAAAAATGCCTCAAATATACACAGCCACCCGTGAACAAAGTGATCTGTATAGAAAAATATATCCAACAAAAAAAAAAACTTAACTTATGGGTACACTGCTTCCCAAGGTTATTTCCCAGCTGATAACCATATGACAGAACTGTATAATTGATAGGATATTTTGGGATTCTCCTAGTGTACCTAAAATAGAGGATAAAACATAGTGCAAATACTGCTAGATACTATAAAAAAAAAAAATTGATTAATATGCTCTCACATTCCAAAATGGTAAAGCGTATTATGTGTGCCTCCCCACGATGTAGATGTGGGGGGGGGGGGGTTTCTTTAAGGGGTAATTATTTCTGATGACTTAAAAGGTAGGCAGACAATGTAATAGAGCAGCAGGAGATGCTAGCAGAATGCTTGCTTATATAAGGAGAGGTATTGGCAGTAGAAAGAGGGAAGAGCTCATGCCATTGTACAGAATACTGGTGAGACCTCACCTGGGCCGGACTGGGAGAAAAATTCGGCCCAGGCATTTTTTTAACACAGCGGCCCACTAAAAAGGGGGCGGGGCAGAGGTGGTGTGTTTTGTCATCAATGACAAACACGCCTCCTCTCAAAGTGAGCATATTGGTTCAATGCTCTTCCAGGGCAGACCATGGGCAGAGCTCTGCTGAAGAGCTCTAGCATGAGAAAAAAAGTCCTGTATTTGTTCTGCACAGTGCAAGCAAATTTAATAACATGCTTGCACTGTGTTTCCTCGCAGCTTGTCTCTGGTGTCTCTATAAATGGATACCAGGAGACAAAAGGGCCAGGAAAGAGTATTGTGCATGTGTTTGGAGCCTGCTTGTGGTATTGTGTGTGTGTGTAGAGTGAGCTGGTCGTAGTGTGGTATTGTGTAATAAGGTCGGTTTTAGTCGTGTTGTGTTTGTGGTGTAATGTGATGCATATGTGGCTATGGGCTGTAGAGAATGTGTGTATTGGGGATATAGCAAGTGTGTGCATGTGTGTGTTTAGGGGTGTAGTATGTGTTTGCTTACAAGGAATCTAGTGTGTATAGGGGATCCAGAGTGTGTATGTTAAAGGACCACTATAGTGCCAGGAAAACACTCGTTTTCCTGGCACTATAGTGCCCTGAGGGTGCCCCCACCCTCAGGGACCCCCTCCCGCCCGGCTCTGAAAAGGGGTTAAAAAAAAAAAAAAAAAAAAAAACTTACCTTTTTCCAGCGCCGGGCGGGGAGCTCTCTTCCGATCCGCCCCGTCGGCTGAATGCGCACGCGTGGCAAGAGCTGCGGGCGCAGCCGGTCGCATAGGAAAGCATTTATAATGCTTTCCTATGGACGCTTGCGTGCTCTCACTGATTTTCACAGTGAAAAGCACGCAAGCGCCTCTAGCGGCTGTCAATGAGACAGCAGCTAGAGGCTTTGGGGGAAGGCTTAACCCATTAATAAACATAGCAGTTTCTCTGAAACTGCTATGTTTATAAAACAATGGGTTAACCCTAGAAGGACCTGGCACCCAGACCACTTCATTAAGCTGAAGTGGTCTGGGTGCCTAGAGTGGTCCTTTAAGAGTGTAGTGTATATATATCTGGAAGTATTGTGTATGTGTGGTGCAGTGTGTTGGGGGGGTTCTGTGTGTATGTGAGAGAGTGCCGTGTGTGGTGTGAGAGCTGTATAAATGTTAGAGTGTGTGTGTGTAGGGGGAAACAAAAAAAAAACACACCACAGTCCAGCACGCTGGGACTGGGTGGCAGTGTTCCCTGGTGGTCCTCGTGGGTGAGTGAACTCTAGCCTGTGAGGCTAGAGTTCACTCTCGCGAGATCCGGTCGTTGCAATGGCAACGCGCCGGATCTCGCGAGAGGAACCCGGCGGAGCTGCAAGTTAGAGCTCCGCAGGGTCCCCTCTCCAGCCTGGCTGGCTCCCTCCCCGCCGGCAGCCGCATGTGGGCCGGTCAGGGAGATCTTTCATGGCAAACAGCGGGGCCGGCGCTAGGAGAGTGCCGGCCCTGCATAGACCGGCAGGGGAGATCCTGGGACCTCCCCTGCCGGCCTCGGCCCATGGCCACCGCGGCCCATCGGGCATTTGAGTATTGTACGCAGTATTTGAGTATTGTACGCAGTACTAGAGACCGTATCTTCAGAAAGATATTGATACTTTAATAGCCCTTCTCTGAAATCTCTAAACTGGTTCATGGATTGCAGGATAAACCCTACAATGAAAGGTTAAAGCAACTTAAAATGTATAGCTTGAAGGAAAGACAAGACGGGGGGGAGGGGGGGCAGGGATGGGTATATGATAGAAACATTTAAATACATAAAAGGAGACTATTTAAAAGAAAAACAAGAGGACAGTCTTAAATTAGAGGGGAAAAGGTTTAAAACTAATATCAGGAAGTATTACTTTACTGAGAGGGTAGTGGATGCATGGAATATGCTTCCAGCTGAAGTGGTAGAGGTTAACACAGTGAAGGAGTTTAAGCATGCGTGGGATAGGCATAAGGCTATCCTAACTATAAGATAAGGCCAGGGACTAATTAAATTGGGCAGACTAGATGGGCCAAAATGGTTATCTGCCTTCATATGCTAGTTGAAACAGGCTCTGCTAGGACCACAAATTGACCACCTGCTACAATTCCAGAAAGCAACACAAGGGTGCCAGTGTTTGATACAGGAGGATTACCATTTATACTGTAGTATGAATGCTAGCCAGCTCGTCAGGACCTCTCAAGCAACAGGAGCTTCCACCTACAACAGTGGAAGCATCCAGTGAAATGCCAGGTTTTATCTAACTCCAAAAGTTAGGAAATGTTATTCTGCCTTAGTCACTCCGCTGTGCCCACTCCTCCACTGGCAGAGATAATCAATACTGATGCAGTTGCCCAGCTGCAACATTTAGTATCTCCTCTATGTGGGATTGTTCAGGGTGTATGTAGACCTGCAATCCTTCCTGTACCACAACCAGGAAGGCTCTGTTATTAGCATTTATAAAAACCACCAGATTTCGCAGTGCTTTTAAATTCTAGAGAAAAAAAAAAAAATTTTTTTAGAGTTGAGCAAGTCTGTTTTCAAACAAGTTTACAATCTATGAGGATTTGAGATATAATGGCAGCCAAATGATGCCATGTTGTACCACCACACTATGGTATAGCACTTGACATTTGTCCTACTCTGCCAAAACCTGGGTACCAGAACACAGAATAGTCAGTTTACCATTTTCTGTTCAGCCATTCTTGACTTGCTCTACCCATGTTTATTTATATCCATTTATTCAGAGACCGGTTTAGTTTTGCAGCATTCCTGGTATGTATGGTGGAAGGATAGACAGGTGAACAGTGATAATTGGAACACCCACTTGAAAAAGGTGACATGTACAAAGGACTCCACAGGTTAATATCTATTTTTTTATTATGCAATATAAGCACACTACACAGCAAACTTAGTGCATGTCATTAATGGAGTATATTTATTCCAAAAAAAACAAAAAACACACTTATAAGCATGGCCAAATTTGAGAGAGTTACTCTGATTTCACACCACTAGTTTGTTCTTGGCAAGGGAGTTGCTTTTTGTAGCAGTGTCTGCATGAGCTTGATAACCAATGACCACCTTTGAAGATAAACCCAATCTCTCCTTATATACTCTACTGTAAGAGGGAAAATAAGCATAGTTAGCAGAAACATTCCAAGAGATAAATGTAAAAAAAATGCCAATCCCATAATATAACAAGCCTGTAAGGGGTGTAGAAGTTACTACAGTATAACCATATTTAATTCTATACTTCATAGGGGAATCAATTTGTTTAACATACAAGATGAGGGAAAAGCCAGGTTGTAATCTTTAGTAGTCATACCTGAAAGGGACAGTATAGTCACCAGAACCACAGCTTATTTTATTTGTTCCCGTGAGTAGAATCATTCCCTTCAGGCTTTTTGCAGTAAACATGGTATTTTCAGAGAAGGCTTGGCATTACCCCAGAAGGAGACATGGAATTAAACTAAACTAAAGACATTGGAATATACAAATTGAATTTAGATGGAGCTCCAGGTGAGAGTGCCCGTCAGTTGCATCAATGAGGCATCATATGGAGGCTTGAACCGTAAACGTATTACCCGAGAGTGGTAATTACGCTGCGGAGAAGAAACACCAGAAATTCATCACCCTATTAAGGGTGTATATAAACAGTCAGTGAACCAAGGATTGTCAGACAATATATTCAGCTGAGAAAGCTACACTATAGTGAAACGTGTTCTGGTTAAAAAAAAAAAAAAAAAAAATTATATATATATATTTTTTTTAATATAAATAGATATATCTATCTTTGTTTTTATAGAGATTTAATAAATTGTAGTATTTTATATCCTGGTTCCCAGTTTTTACTACTACTTATCTAGGGAGTGCCCTAACTGCACAACTGAGCCATAGGGGCTCCATGTAGGCAAGTACCCACTTGGCATCTGGATTTATTACGATATATATACTGTGCTACTCTTTTCATCTTACATATTCCCCCCAGGACAGAACATATTTCCTATAGGTATGGGTCACCTGCACAGAACCAGACTATGTACACCAGAGCTAGGTTTATAGTGGTTTGTGAGTTGTTTTTATGCATTATATTCATCTATACACATTTGCACTATGTTCTATTAATATTCATGGGTTTCCAAGGTGTTGTCCACAATATCTGGAATACTATTCTTAAAGGACCACTATAGTGCCAGGAAAGCTAGTTTTCCTGGCACTATAGTGCCCTGAGGGTGCCCCCACCCTCAGGGTCCCCCTCCCGCCCGGCTCTGGAAAGGGGAAAGGGGTAAAAACTTACCTTTTTCCAGCGCTGGGCGGGGAGCTCTCCTCCGATCCTCCTCCTGGGCTGAATGCGCACGCGCGGCAAGAGCTGCGCGCATTCAGCCAGTCACATAGGAAAGCATTCATAATGCTTTCCTATGGACGCTTGCGTGCTCTCACTGAAAATCACAGTGAGAAGCACGCAAGCGCCTCTAGTGGCTGTCAATGAGAGCCACTAGAGGGAATGGGGGAAGGCTTAACCCATTCATAAACATAGCAGTTTCTCTGAAACTCCTAGGTTTATAAAAAAAAAAAAAAAAAAATGGGTTAACCCTAGAAGGACTTAAGCTGAAGTGGTCTGGGTGCCTAGAGTGGTCCTTTAAAGGTGATTATTACCTTTATATCTCCTTTTTTGATAAGCGCTACATTCTTTTGTTTATTGTATTATCAGTTGTGGTATTTGGAAGAGTTTCATATGAATGTTTAGTGTGACAGACCCATCTGTCTGGATTATAACTGCTTGGTTCGTCTGTTTTGCCGTTTTCATGAATTTCCCCGTTCGTATGCTTGGTTTAAGGGAAGGGCGGTTTTGTCGAACGGAACTACCGAACGGACGGCCACCCAGAAGAGAAGTGTGCTGCTGGTTAACCTATTGATCCCAATTAGAACGTTGCGGTTAACCACAGACACTTCTCAATTAAAATCGAATGCCGGGTGGTCGTCGTTCGTATGTCGACCACGAGGCGGCGGCCATTTTGTCCATGCGAACGACCAGCGGTGTTCGACGATTATTTCATGGATCGGAAAACGGACACTTTTTCAGCCGAACACCGCTGAAGCCGTCGACCTCCCCTTCTCAATCGACAAAAGCATACGAATGACAGCCGTTCGGGAGATTCAACCACACGAATGGACTTAACCCAGATAGCCGTCCCATGGAGTCAATCGCATACCGAAGAACTGAAAGAGACTTTGACTCCACTGCGATTGAACTGTGCGAATGGGATCTGAGCGCTATTCTCCAATAATGTGCCCTCAGATCCAGGCTATCTGGGGATATGCAAGACTGATGTAAAATGTTCAACAGTTATTAAGTTATGGATTTTTGTGTGTTTTGCAACTTGTATCTAAAATGGCGATTGCCTCTGCTCAGGGAGATAATCGAATTACTTCCCCAATTATCCCCCGAGCAGAGGGGAGGGAACTGTACTGCATGCTGGGAATATTATGGGGATGTATGTCCAGAATGTCCCCATGTCCCTCTGTGATTTCAGTCTCCCATTTGGTCCCCTAGGGGAGTGTCCACCAAGTGGGAGACCTGCATAAATACCGGGCAGGTAGCCCACAGTAAACCAGTTCGTGTTTTACCCTCAAAGCGGAGCTTGGTCTCGTTATTGGGGGGGGATTTGGATACCAGCGGCGAGAGACTGCTTATTTGGAGTATTTGCCGCTTGGGAGATATTGTCGTTCGGTTACTAATTGCCGTTCGTGGATTTGCGGCTCGTGAAGGGAATTAGCCGTACAGGTACCGTTCGGGAGTTTGGAGTGTTCCCTGGCTGGCGGTTCGCATGGTTTTATTATACCCGCTACCCGACCACATTATTGCGAACGGGGAATACCCGCTAAACGGCGGTTTGTACATTTCGTTACTGGAGGTACCGTAACATTTAGCTATTTTATATTTTCTGGCAATATTCCATTTAGTTTACATAAAGCGCTAGTACCCATCTATTTGTTAGTGTTTACATTGCAGCCTAAGGATTCCTCCTGTGGCCACTTCTGAGATGGCTGCTAGAGGTGCTTCCTGGGGTATTGCTGTACACTGCAGTACTGCCATTCAGTGTCTCCACCTGCTTGCATGCAGACACTGAACTTTCCTCATAGATATACATCTTCATGAGGAAATGCTGATTGGCCAGGGTTGTGTTTGGCTTGTGATGGCTCTGCCCCAGATCTGCCTCCTTGACAGTCTCAAGATTAAGTTACATCTGATTGAAAGCGAAAGCATTTTTTCCCATGCAGGCTGTGTCAGTCACAGCCAGGGGAGGTGTGTCTAGGGCTGCATAAACAGAAACAAGTGATTTAAATCCTAAATGACAAAGAAAAAAAAAAAATTGAGCAGTGAAAGGCATGATCTATACACAAACTATATCAGTAAACTAACATTTTGGTGACTAGTGTCCCTTTAATATTTCAGGATGCAAGGGGGGTTAGTGGTTTTAACACTATAGGGGTCAGGAATAGAGGTTTGTGTTCCTGACCCTATGGTGTTCCTTGAAGGAACAATCACACTGGAATTCTGATTTATAAACCTGCATAATGTGTCCTGCAGATGTAATCAGAGGTAAATATGGATCCATGTGACAAGTTAGTGTCAATAGTAAACCCATAATTTATATTGAGAAATGCTCCACCAGATACAACAGAATAAAGAAAAACCACCACAAATTGCTTGCGATGCCAAAGGGTTAAACATCATGCTAGAACAGCCCATACAGAGATGGTTTTCTATACAAAGCAGTTATGTAACCATTATAGCCTAGTTGACTACATTCAGTCTACATGACGAAAGTGGGTCTGTTGCTTCAGGACTTCGCTATTTGTACACACATTCTAAGACCAATCTAAATAGTATCCAATAGTTCCTGCAATACAGAGAATGAGAGTTTCACAATAGTCATTTCTAGCAATTCAGAAATCCTATGTGGTGTGTCCTTTAGGAGTTCCCTCAATAGTCACCTGTGAAGCATTGCTTTATTCTGTTATTTCAGTATATTTTCACTATGGTCAAAGCCTTTGCATGTTAAGTAATAAAAAAAGGGAATAATCCTATTGGAGGATTTATTTAAAGGGAACCTATAGTCCAGAGAAGAGTTTTTAGGAACACCAGTTCCCTTTTGTTAAACCCACTGTAAACAAAGTGATTTTACGCCTAAATGGCAGCGAATTGAGTAGTGAGACTGCAGGGGGCATGATCTATACACCAGAAGTACATCATTAAGCTATAGTTTTGGTGACTATAGTATCCCTTTAATCTTGCAATATAAACATCAGTTAAAACAAAACACTGTATTTAAATAAAGTGGTCTGGGTGATTCTAGTAGCTCTATCAGACTGATTCAATGCACCTAAAGACGACTTCACATTACAGGTTTTTACCCAATATGTGTGACAGCTTCTCTGTTCTCAGTTTCTCTGGTCCAGACTGCAATTTTATCTCCTTTTGCCCGAATGTTAATTACTGCACCACATACTTCATCACTATGTTCATCAAATGCTTCTCCAATTAGACACAGCAACTGCAGGGAGGACATAAATCCTAAGCAACTTTGTGTCAGCAATGAATAAAATGTCCAGACATCAAATGGTCAGATATACAAAGGCCGCTAATTATGGCTTTAAACCAGGTTTAGTCAACTTTTTAATACCTGCTGGTTGATGGTAGTTTCCATACCGCCCACCAGTGCTGCAGTAACTAATTTTATAGCGCAGGTGCGATATTCATAGTTTTATCAAAAGGAGTTTTTTGTTGTTTTTAAATATGTACTTACATTTATCTATTTTCTATTCTACTTCTTTGTATGTGAGAAGGGGCAGTGTGGGTGTAGTGTGAATGCTGCATAGAGTATGCTGTGTGTAGGTTGGTGAGATGTGAAAATCTATGTATACTGTCTCCCCCTCCCTTCTTACCTTTTACCAGGGAGGGTGGACAAAATGCTGCAAGCCCTGGTGGTCCAGTGATGGCATGTTCACTTTACAGGCTGACTCCTGACATCCTGCAAGCAAAGCACTGTATTGGAGCATTGCCATGGCAATGCTCTGATCAGCCTGCACGCTGGAAGAACAGAGCCTCTCAGGCCCTTCCCTCCCTCTGCTGGAACCAAGTGCTAGCAGGCTGGTGGGGGAGATCTTTGATCTCCTCACCAGTTTGAGAGGTCTTACAGCAAGGCTCGCTTTGCATGGTCCAGCCGGGTAGATTAAAGGATCTCCCCTGCTGGCCTTGGTCCACGGCTACAAATACCCATTGGGCATTTTCTGCCGAACCGGCCACCTGAAATCCCAATCCCAGAATGGACCAGGTTGACCATCCCTGCTCTAAACACTCTAGGATGATTTTTATGCAGTTTCCTTACCCAGTCACATGATCTTAAAAAAAACAAAACAAAAAAAAAAACAATTTGTTTAATTAGACATAGGGATTTAGGAGAGAGCGCAAGTAACTTTCTTTGGTTTTAACTGTATGTATTGGGGCTGATGTGTATGGTGGTCAAAGCTGCTGCCCAGGAGTGATTGCAAGACTTCTTTGTATTTGTTTCCTATGGGGAGGTCTAATGTATGCACAGAATTTGCCGTGCATAAGAGCCCCCTAGTCGTGGGACGGAGCTTCGACCCAGCGCTGAGATAAGGCAAGTAAATAGGTTTTTAACTTTTTATTTAAAGGGGTAGGAGGGGGCATGAGGGAATGCAGTGCCAGAGACAGTGTATAGGTTTTTACTACACTGACATGCTAATTTCTGGCACCAGTTTGGGTACCCTGAAAACTAGAATCATGGGAAGTTGCACAATCTAAATGTATGGCATCAACATATACACAAGAGGCTAACCATTCTGTTTACCAATGTATCTTGTGCTAGTCAGAGTGGTAGTATATACTAACAGCATGAGGACAAGGTTCACGCCAAGACATTAATGGGAGTTAGGAGGACTAACATACAAGTTCACTAACCCCTCTAGAAGTCAAAAGCAGTTCACTTACAGTCTCAAGCCAGAGTGTATCTAGATCACTGTGTCTCTGTTGCTTAGATAGAGTAATCAACCACCTGCCACCTCGCTTGTTCCGGCTATCTTCCCACATGGGCTCAATCCCATCCTGTAAACAGAAGAGCGGTTTAGCCAGAGTACAAAGTCGGACGCATAAAGGTTATCTAACTTTGTCTTGTACTTACCTTTCCCTAGATGTCCGGTGGGGAAGCTGACTGGTCTGCACTTTTTTGGAGTACAGATTACTTTAAGAGGTCACTCACACTCAACAAGTCAGTGTCTCAGAGTGCAACAAATAAATCCTGCTGGGGACTAAAGTAACTCTTACAGCAATCTGCATGAGAAGTACAGATACAAAGCCAAGCAGAAAGATCTTTTGTCAACTGCAAAAGTTACCATGTTTGTATGGGGATTTGTTTTAGAAAAGTAGCAATTGCATAGAATATTTGATACAGTCTCAGTATATTTTGTTCCTTTTGTATGGTTGCCAAGAGACATTTCCATCATTTCTAATGCAATAGGCACCAAAAAATTAAAGGGAATTATGACTCAATGAAATTTGCCAAACAGATTATTTTTCCCCCAGCTAAAGGTTCCCCATTGTAATCTTTGTATGATCTGCAAAACATTTCTTGCCCCCTTCCCCCCCCATAGTTCAAAGACATCTCACCTTAAAAATAGAGTAGTCACAGCCAGAGGACAGGTTACTTGCAAGCTGGATATGTGTATATAGTCTGATGGACAGAATCTGGATTAGTATTGGCATGGGATAGTATACAATAGCGTACTGTAGATATAACAGTGCTGGACCACACATGTAGTTCAACTCTAAAGCTCACTGCAGCAAACACTAGAATTTCAGAAATGACAGACAATACCTACAAGCACACTACAAGACAAAGAAGTGTCAGTGGGAGTTAAACTGAGCCAGGTGTGAGCCTTTAAAGAAGGAGCTAAATTTCACACATATTTAGCTTGGTCACATTCTTCATTTGGAATGGAATACAATAAAGTTATAAGAGGCATGTTTGGTCATGTGGCCTGCATTGTACTTTGAGAGTAATACACTACTGGAAGAAGCAGTTTTTCCCATTTGTGCAAGAAAAACTGAAAATTGCTAGGGGACAGCATACATCAAATGACCAAAAGCGGGATTTAAAAAATAAAATTGGACTGCTCATTTTTCCTCACTTGATCTGTGAATCAAATAGTTGGAGAGTGGGCCTGTGTACTAATCAAGATATTTATATCGCAATACTGACTAGCCCTTTTCCATGCCTTTAGTTTGCCACATTGTTCCCTCCCCATGGAAGAGTCTGCTGAAAAGGCACATGAATGATGTCAGGATTCTCAAATAAAAAAAAATAAATAAATAATAAAAAAAAGGCAGGTACCCGCTAACCGAGTGTCCCTAAATGTGTGTAGCTTGCACCCTTAAAGCCACCAGGTAAGGCAGTGTATCAGGTTCTGTAATAATTAATCCATATATGTACAAGCAGCATCTTAAGGGGGCCCATGTTATCTGGTGTTGACATGGGCAGTTGCCGGGGGGGGCATAAATTGGACAGAAGTGTCGACCCGATCACATTCTTCAACATTTCAAATGGACAAAAAAGTACACTAATTTTAGATGTCTAAGTTGTGGTGTGGCTGTGCTGAGAGAAATTTTTAGTTGACTTACTATTAACAGTTTATGCAACTACAATGTATCTTATTGACAGACTGATTTCTAAACACATTTATTGTAATTTAAAGACTATGTATTTGAGGCGCTCTGTTATACACCCAGAAACACCAACATTGACAGAAAAAACCCACTAACATTAGAATGGAACAGAAGAACAAGGAGATTTAGACTCTAAATAATGCTATTTCAGATGTATGCTGGGACTGGATGCTCTGTAGACTTTACTTACGCCCAGAAGTCTTCTACAGTACTGAATGTAGTGACAAGGCGCAGGTTACATTGCCACGGCTGGCTCTTGACATTTTTGAAGAACCACAGGGCCCACCTGAAAACCAGATCACGGAGTGTGAATTAACACCATTCAAGGTTACTATGAACACAAATCGGACATTCAATAGTGTAAACACGTTTGAGATAGACACATCCCTAACCCCACCAATGTACACAGTGTTTAAAAGGGGCAAGCTGCCATTTTAGATTTGGCTGGGAAAATAAAAGCCAAATTAAAAAAGTTCCTTTTATGCCTGCCTTCCCAATAAAGGGAATTACAAGTCATTGAGAGGCATTGGAATGGCAAACAAGAAGCCTCGGATTGGTGTATCCCCCACATTGTGTGATGGAATAGGGGAGTGTTTGGAAAGTTTGCAGTCAAAATGTTTTTTCTATACCCACAGGAAAGGGGTGGCAAGGGGTGCTTAGATTGTAATTTTAATCCACTAATAGAGAAAAGCCAAATTTAAGTCATTTTTTTCCGATCAATGCTCTAGGACAGGGGAACTCAAAAGTAATCCCCAGAAGTTTTATGACTACAGTTTCCATGATGCTTTGTCATTCTAAAAAAGGCATGCAAAGCATCATGGGAGTTGCAGTTCTTCAGCATCTGGGGGATCTACCTTTTAGGCAACTGACTTCCCATTGTTTGCTAAAATAATGTTTAGGATGAGAGGTATATCAAACAGTTGTAGATTGACGCTAGATAGCATTTATAGGAGTTGCTTATTAAACCAAACTTAAAAAAAAAAAGTTACAAATCTATCTATCTATAACCAGAGAGCTTCTTGTTCTCTAGAATATATAGTTTCTCAATACAGCTTTTCTGCTCACACCACCTAGTGGTATAGAATGATATTTAAAGCTACATTTAGACATCTTCCTTTAGCTTTTTTAAAAAGTTCCAATTTGAAATCAGTACCTTCTTTGCAAAGGATGTTTTTCCACTTTCTCCAGTGTATAGACTTCTCTCTTTTTCCTCCTTTTTTCATTGTCTCTCCGAGGTAAACTTTTTATGTTGAGCTAAATTGAAAAAAGTTAAAAACTACAGACAACCCACTAAAAAAGTTAGTTGATGGAACCAGCACTCTGGACTTTATTCACTAAATATCAAATTCTAGTTAGTTTAAGGCTAAATTACAGCCTTTAGGTCAAGATAACCAGGCTGTTTTTAAAACCAAGTTTGAGAATTTTTCTAAATCAGTTTTCTATTCCTGCAGTAATGGTCTGCACGTTGCAATAAGAGTAACAAATCAAACTAGTTTTTCAGACAATTTCACAATGCAGCACAGGTGTTGCCAGGTACTGCTTTTACTATATTGTTGCAATTGTTTAGACATAATTTAAGTTTAAAAAAAAAAAAAAAAAAAATTACAACTAATTGTGGCTGCATTACACTTGTGACTTAAAACTTTAAAAAAGGACACTAATGCCAGGAATACAAAGCAGCATTCCTGGCAATATTGCTCCCCATGTAAATAGAGTTAAAACCCCTTTATTTACTAATCTTTGATGTTCCTCCCCCTCCAACGCCCCAAGATGAGCGGGTGCTAATGCACAGCATATGCCGCATGCATTAAACCTCCCCCATAGGAAAGCAAGAATCGGTGCTACAGGGAAAAAGTCTGATGCTGGGTGTCAGACCGTGAGGACGTCCAGCATCAGATACTGGACCAAAGGTCCATTTCAATCCAGGAAGCTCTCTAATGGCTGTCTGGTATACAGCAACTGAGGCCAGACTTAGTGCTGCAAAGGGACACTGCACCCAGACCACTTCAGTTAGCTGAAGTAGTCTGGGTGCCTACAGTGTCCATTTAAAGGAGAATCTATATTGCCATGCTAGTAGTTACTCTAGTCCGAGCCATACTTCCCAACATTTCAAAGTGACAAAAGGACACTTTAAATTTTAGTTATGTGAGTGGACTGTGGGACTATTAAAAAAAAAAAAAAAAAACATTTAGATCACTTTCTAATCATTTATACAGCTAGAATGTAGTGTACAACAGGACCTAAGTTACACAGACTGATTTCTAGAGATGTGCATTGTAGTTTAGAGACACATTTAAGGATCACTATAGGGTCGGTAAAAAAACTTTTATTCCGGACCCTATAGTGCTAAACCCACCATTTAGGTGGTTGCCCCCTATAATAAAAAAAAAAAAAAATAAAAAAAAACACCCCACCTTAATTTCCAGCGCCATTTGGGTTGACCAAAATCAGCATGGGGCAGAGCAAAATGCTGTTTTGGCCAATCAGGACCTCAGATGCATTGAATCAATGCATCTATATGAGGGAGGGAGGAAGCGTCTCCATGCAGAGCATGGAGACGCTAGACGTGAGGGCTGCTTTTTTGGCAGCACCTCCAGTGGCCATCTAAGGGAGTGACCACTTGGAGGTGTTCCTAGAGGCAGTGTAAACACTACCTTTCCTCTGAACATAAAGATCTTTACATGAAAAAATAAATAAATAAAGTCTGAAGGGAACTATTATACTCACCAAAACTACATTAAGCTGTAGTTGTTCTGGTGACTATAGTGTCCCTTTAATAGCAGTATTATTGCTATGGGGTTTGGTTATACACACCTCTAAATTTACATGGCAAGCCAAGCGCACTGATGGTGAAAAAAAAATAAAAAAAAAAAATTAAAAAACCACACACCCCACCTTTATATAAATAGAGAAGTCCCCCCCAACACTTTGCAATAGACATATGCTGTACTAGCTGGCATTAAGTCAGTTTGCTAATCAGAAAAATCCTATTACAGTGATTTGATAAACTCTTCTGTATTAGTAAAGCACATTTATAAAAACATAACATGTGAATATAAAATGAAGGACTAACATATATTCAATGCTCCCAAAATGGTTTGCTTCCACAGACAAACACTCACATAGTGGATGAAATACACATTATTCTAAAGCAATAACATTTATTTTCATGTGTGATTCAAAAATCAGCTTTTACTCACTGTTTCAGCAGTAGCCATGTTTACTATTCAAAAGAATATTCTAGAATTAAAGTCAACCCCCCACCCCCTTTTTATATGGAGCACAATCAGGCCATTAAATCACCTGAATAGCACCTTCCAGGTAAATCCAAACAAGCTAAGAATTGTGGGTGTCCCTACTTGAATAAAAACAAATGGATCAGCATTATCCAAGTTCTGTTTAAAGTGACACTGTGCGGATGGGATATAAAAATAAAATAAAAAATGAAGCAGTAGCTTAGATGCCAACATTTTGCTTCACATGCGACAAATTTTCCCTGTTTGCCATAGTTTGGCCCTGTGCCACTTTTTTGTCACTTTAATCAGACAGAAATATCGGTGCTCTTTATATATAAAACAGAACTGCAATAATACCCCTTTCTAAAACAGGTAAGCAGCTTTCACAGTCTTTGTTTTTAAGGAATACAATAAAAAACAAATCATTCATATTGTGAATGCCTCTTCTCCCCTCTAGTTTAACTACTCAATTTGCCTTATTAAGTGACGTTAGTATAATCAATAGTATAATCATCAGAATAAAACACTCTGAAAGAGTAAAACAAAACAAAATTACAGATTATTTTGGAGAAAGAATATTCAAAAGAATATTCTAGAATTAAAGTCACCAATAAATAAATGATTTATAGAAAGTTTTATATATAGGAAAACAGCGCATGTACACAACACCATAGGTGTGTGCAGCCTATTGCACACTAACAGGACCCTAACAAACACAAACACCCTCACCCATATAGCACACTAACAGCACCCTCACACACACAGGACCCTCACACCGCACCCTAAAGCACAAACACGCCGCGCATATATGTATGTATATATACACACACACACTGCTGGGTTAGAGCAGAGCCCCCCTGCCGGTCTCAATCCATAGGCTTTCCGCAGGGATTAGGGTGTGCCCTGGCACACCCCGTGCGCACGCCTATGTACAACACTGACACAAATGTGAAAGTAAATGAGTCAAAGTGTCACAGTTCTCATCATGTCATCCATACAGCCAGACGAGGTCACCCCAGAAGGGATTTGGGCCTGCTGTTTCTCCTCTGAGCCACCATACAGCTCAAGTAATAACCTGAAGTCTGATCTTGCCTTGTATCCAGCACCGGGGGTTCGAATTTACCTGAGACTGCTCCTGTCACTCATGGTTCACCTGTGGCTGATCACTGAGGGCAGTGTCAGTTCATTGACTGTGGTTCCTTTTTTGGTGTTTGTGTTCTCCAGTTGGCTCCTGACCTTGGCTTTCTATTCGTGTATCCTGACTTCTGGCATCCTCTGACTTTAGCTTACCCTCGTTTATCCTGACTTCTGGCACCCTCTGACCTTTGGCTTACCCACGACGATTCTCCTGCTTGTGTCCATACCTCTACCGCAACTTGGAGCACTATCCTGCACAGCCCCCGTGCACAGACTCACAGGCCAGGTGAATTCTTACCTGACCACCTTGGCCTGTGTGAGCACATATCTCTGCCTACCGGACTCCCAAACAAGGTAAGCCGTGACACAAAGTCATACATATACATAAAATACTTTGATAATTGTCATCAAAATGTCTTATAGGTAATAGTTTAGTAATGGGCGCTAGTGATTTAGGCACAATCCTCCTTCCCAGGAAGTGGCTTCATCAATTAGGAACATCTTGTTCTGGTCATTTAAGTCTTTTCTTTTTAAACTTATGCAAAGTGAAAAATGTTGGTCGTTCTAAACAAAATTTTCTGAATGAACCTCTGACGATTAAAAACCTGAAAATCTGCTGAACCGATATTCAAAGGTCAATCTTGTGGCAGCTGCTCAGCACAATAGTTTTAAAAAATCTCTTTGGGTCAATATAACTTCCACATTATTATGTTGCTGTCCAGTTGCTAGTAACGTACAACCCAGCAGCACATGTTGGGCATCGGCTAAAGGGTTCCACTTAGAATGGGAACCACAGTGGGCTAATAATTAAATACAGTGGGGGGGGGGAGGGACTTACTGTCTCTCTCTGTGCCCTCACCCATGGCCAGCAGAAAAGGGTTATAATTAAAATGTGCCAGGGGAACTTATTTTGCCCTAGTGTTGGCTGCCTCTAATTAATAAACTGGAGGACCTAAGGGTGGCAAGTGAGCTCTAATATTGATAACAATGTTGACCTAATATGCCCCAAACCAAGGACTTTAAAGGGACACTCCAGGCACTCAGACCACTTCTGCCTATTGGAGTGGTCTGGATGCCAACTCTCACTACCCTCAACCCTGCAAGTGTAATTATTGCAGTTTTTATAAACTGCAATAATTACCTTGCAGGGTTAAGTCCACCTCTAGTGGCTGTCTGACAGACAGCCACTAGAGGGACTTCGGTGCTCTTAGAACACGAAAAGTGTTTTAAGCGACACTGTACGTCCTCACGCTATGTGAGGACCTCCAGCATCGCCGCAATCCCAATAGGAAAGCATTGAAAGCATTGTCAGCCGGTGGGGGAGGAGAGTAGACAGAGACTGACCCCTTCAGCAACTTGGGATGCGGGGTGAAAGGGAGAGGGGCACTGTAGGGTCCTGCAGTGCCAGGAAAACTAATATGTTTTCCTGGCACTGGAGATTCCCTTTAATTTTGCTAACAGGGACAACCTAGTGTCCATCCACACTACCACTCATGGGCAGCAGATGGGGGCTCTGAATAAATAGAGAAGGAGAGGGGTGGTCATGCCATTGTCCACCCCAGGTGACAAGGGTTCCTCAAGCCCTTATCCACCCACCCCAATAAAAAAATAAAAAAAATGAATTAGCCCCTCACCATAATAATATTGTGTAATGCCCAATAAGTCGAAATAGCTTCCCCCTTGAGGGAGGCCAATTGCCAAAACGTTAGGGCTTTATGGTCTCCTGCTCTAGGTCAGTATACCTTACAGACAGTAAATGGGTTTATGGTGTTAGCACTTCATTGTTATGCACGCAGTAATTTATATGTGATTGTACTTTCTTGTATCTTTGTTTTGTACATTTGCACTTTATCAAGCGTATAATAAAAAATATAATAAAAAAAAATGTAAACTATTTCTATGCAATAACTATTGGTGTGCTTGGGTATTATTTAATTTTATTACTTCTATGTACCTGGTGGGGGAACAGGTTTTATTTCCCTTTTAGCAACCTATAAAAACATACAGCTAGAAAAATAAATCAGCTAAATAAATTATCTCTATCCATTTATCCATACATGGTCAATATTTAAGCCCCTCCCTCTAACACCTTATCTATGACTTGTCTATGATGTCATAAGGAGAGGTATTACATCACCAAAGTCTTGAGGGCAATTAACATAGACTTAAGCTGCATTTGAAAGAGGAGCCTGGCCAAGGAGTAAGTACTGTCAGCCATACATTGTTTTTTTTAAATAATAAATGCTTACTAAGAATCTGTGCTTTACTGCTTCATGTGGCAAGCTTACTGAGGTATACTGAACTATATACAGGAGGTGATATATACTGTATATGGAACAATAAAAATTTTGTAAATATTAAGAATTGCACTAGTTGAATTAGGTAACAGTTATTGGCTATTATGTTAAATTATATATATCTTTCTTTTTTGCTCTTCTCTATTGTATATTTTTTCATATATAGTCAGTAATAACTTGTGTTTTGTCTTTTATAGCTTCTCCTCAGCCTATACACCTGTGTGTCCTGTGAGCCGGCACTGGCTGCAACTGATGAGGGCTTTGCATTATAATATTAGTTTCCTGAGGTATGTATTGGCAGCCCTCAAAAATTAGGAATGATTAATTGCAGGTAAGTATTTTATACGGGCACAACATGATGGCAGACTTCTTACTATTGTATACTGAACAGTATTCAGTAAGGAATTTACACTGTATACTATACAATAGAATTAGGAACAATTACAATCTCTCCTTATGTGAACTGGGCTCAGATTAATTTCCTGTGAAGTCCAATTCTCACAGAAAGTGTTTGAAAAAATGTCTGTCAATCCTTCAATGACCGACTTACTGGATGACAGACTGAAAAATCTTTCAGGTTAAATGTGGAGCTGCAACAACATGGTGGTGTGTAGGCATTTAGAGTGCAAAACAGGACATTTTGCCTCGTAAGCAGCACTTCAACAGTGCTCAGTATATGGGGAAACCTTGATTGAATGTGTCATCAATCTGAACCTTTGCTGGATGGCACCCACTTGCTGGACTGGCAGGTAGGTTACCTGTGAAACTGAGTCACAGGCATGTCAACCTACCTCACCCCACCACCTCTCTTTCCTACCTGACAGATTTGGCAGGTCTGGAAACTGATTAATGATTATCCTCATAGCCAATCAAAATCATGCCCCGATCTAGGGTTGTAAAACCGATCGCTGTTTTTCAGGGTCAGGAAGGAATTTTTGCTTGTGAATCAAGATTTTTTGCCTTCCTCTGGATCACTGGGCTTAGGTATAATATGCTTAATCTACTTTAAACTAATAAACTAATTAGAAGTAATCTAATAAAAGTAAATTAAATGAAAATTATAGTAATTATGAATAATATAAAATATATAATATAATACATTTTAGATAATATATAATTCTGAACCATAATATCTATATCGAAGGTGACACTGGGATCTAAACAATTTGTGGATGAGAGAGTAAGATTATTTTAAACAAATTCAATAAGCAGAGCCAATACAAAATAAAATGTATTTAAATTCAAATGTAAATGCAAATATCAGCCCAGATTGTCAGTATGCTCAAAATCTGAATATAAATGTAAATCCTTCATCTTGGAGGTGCAACGTGCTAGGACAGCGGGTGCTGTGGTTCATTGGCCATCAATCACAATTGCATATTTAATACCTTACATAACAGAAATAAGTTAATGAAGAAAATATTTTTTTTTTTTTTTTTTTAATGTGGAATATTTACAAAAGATTTGTTAAAGGAACACTCTAGTGTCAGGAATACAAATGTAAGATTACTTACTTTTTTCCAGCGCTGTGTGGATCTCCTCACGCTGGACCAGCCCCTGTTCTGACTCCTTGGCTGAGATGATCAATTTTGATGCTCTTAGCCAATCCAATGCTTTCCCATAGGAAATCATTGGAAATCTAATGCGCACACGCGGCATATCGATGCACCAATCAGCGTCTCATCAGAGATATGCATTGAATCAGTTCATCTCTAGGAGGAATGTTCAGCGCCTCTGTGTAGAGAGTGCAGATGCTAATCCAGAAAGCACCTCTAGTGGCCATCTGAGTGACTGCCACTAGAGGTGTTACTAGGCAGTCCCTGCCTTTTTTTCTGAAAATACAGTGTTTGCATTACAATGCCTGCAGGGACATACTATACACACCAGAACAACCACATTAAGCTGTAGTTGTTCCGGTGACTATAGTTTCCTTTTAACACATATTGGTCAATACTAGGCGGCAGTTCAGTTCATTAGATAACATGAATGGAATTAATGCTTGAGCTAATAGCAGCTGTATCTCAGCTGCTTTTAGTTAACATGTAAAAATTAATTTGCCCCATAAGGCCAGAATTTTCTCTTCTTCATCCAAAACTGCAGTGTTTCCTTTTTTCTCCCCAATATACCGCTGTGTCATGAGAGGTGGGGGTTATAGTTCAGATTTTGTCCTTCTACAGCAGAAAGCTGACTAACTATACATTTTCAGATAGTTGTCCTTCAAGCACTGCTTATGGAATAAACTCAGATATTCTATAGACTTTCAAAGGGCCACTGTAAGCTCTAGCATGGAAAAGGTTTAAAAACCCTTTGTGTACTCACCCGATTTAAGCGCCTATCTCCCTCGGCACTGGGTCGGCACTCCTCCGAAGTCATCCAATGGGGTGGCTAATGCGTATGTGCAGCTAGATCATTAGACCCTCCCAATTGGAAAGCATTACCTCAAGGGGATTTAACTGACCCTGGATGTCTTCATGCAGAGAGTGAGGACATTCAGTATCGGTTAGGCGACCGAAAGTCGCCTAGAAAGGAGTAAGTGTCTCTAGTGGCTCATAGACAGCCACTAGAGGCGGTCTTAGTCCTGCAATGTAATTATAGCAGTTTCTTAAAACGGCAATGATTTACATTGCAGGACTAAGGGGGACAGTGACACTTCACCAAGACCACTTCAATCAGATGAAATGGTCTGGTGCCTGTAGTTTCCCTTTCAAATTCATTTTAGTCAGGCTTAAAAGTTTCTTACCACTGCAAGCCTGGAAGCATAGCATATTGACAAACCTTTGACTTTTATACTTACCAGAGCTAGATTTTATGTCTAGTGCTGAGTGGAAATTCGGAGCCTTGATTTTATCCATATAACAACAAGCAAGGTGATAGACCGCGCCCCAAAAGCAAAAATATATATAGCAGAAATATAGAACATAAAAATATAATTACATCAGTTGATTCAATCTACATACGCTGAGGTAGGATGGTTTCTGTAACCTTGAAGGAAACAGAAATGGACAAACAATAGTGCAATATGTAACAGATATAGGTAGAAATATATAGTGTGCAAACTCACAATAGATAGAGCTGCTAAGAGCTCTGCTGTAATGCGCCTGGATGGTACAATCCCTGTCTATGGATATTTGTAGCTTTGCTTGATAGTTTTTTCCGTTTAGTATATATGAGAAAACACAATAGAAAGGTCTTATGGTATAGTATGTATATACACAAAGTAAAGGATAAAAAGTGGTATCCTACTTACAATATGCAGAGCAATGGCCTGCTCTGGTATGAAGAGCATTGGTGGTATTATCCCCACCTAGGATAAACATGATGATAAAAAATAAAAAGATTTAATAAAATGGAAATATACCTTTAAAAATAAAAAAACTTTATTTTAAATAAAAGATATATATATATATATATATATATATATAAAGAGAGTAAATAGGGAGTAAATTCTTCCAGTACCAACACTTTACGCGTTTCACCCGGCTGGGCGTCCTCAGAAGTATAGGTAGTCCTGTCAAGTCCTCGTTTATATGTGGTACCTATCTTCTATAGCTAAATTAGGTGTTCAATTTCCTGGTTTGCATGCATCACCCAGAAGTGATGCACTCGGTACATTTCAAGCATTCATGGGACATTTAGTCTTGTTTTGGGTTTTTTCTCTCTCCATGAGCACAAAGGTTTGTGGTAGATGTAGTTCATATAGGACCGTTTTCAAGTGCAGCAGTCTGTATGGTCCCACAAACTCCATATAGGAGAATTATAACAGAAAGGAAGTAAGATAAGCTATGAGGGTTTTCGGCTATGCTAATCTATTTATGACAGAATGGGAAGAAAGAACGGTGTGGAGGGGGCATGGCTGGGTGGAGAGCCTGGTGGCCTACTATAGATATATTGATGATTTGTTTTTAATATGGAATGGCCCAATACCCACCGCCCAGGATTGTATTACTTTTTAAAACAATAATGATGACAGAATAATATTAACAGCTGATTTTAGTACTACTAATGTAACGTTTTTAGACTTAGATATAAATTTTAAAAACAACAAAATCCACACTAAAACAGATTTTTTAAAAGTGCATGTAAATAATTTTATAGGTATGGACAGTTGCCATTATGATAGTTGGCTCAAGAGTAAAATTATTAAAGAAACCAGACACACACAGAGAGAAAATTTAATTCCAAGTACAAAACAGAAAACTAAAACAATAAAAGATTTAAAATTACCTATAGTTTTGTACTACAACAACAAAAATAAACAACTAAAAAAATAATAAAAACTAACTGGCACCTCCTAAAAGAAGATGAACTTCTAAAGGATATCATCCCTGAGTGCCCAAAAATAGTCTTCAGAGGTGCCCCAAATCTAAATGCAATTAACTAAGAATTATTCAAAAAATATGACTCCGGTAAATATCAATAGCTTTTTTAACAGTAAACTAGGCTTTTATAGGTGTAATAGCTGTACGGCATGTAAAAATTTTTTTTTAAAAATGGATAAGTGTACATCAAGTTTTAAATCAAATAGAAACAATAAAATTTATAATATAAGGAACACCATAACTTGTAATAGTAAAAATGGTAATATATTTATTGGAGTCCCCTTGTGGCCTCCAATATTTAGGAAGAATAATAAGACAGTTGAAAACAAGAATTAGAGAACACTGCCGTAATATAGAAATTGGTTTTAAAAATCATTTAGTTTCCTCTCAATTTCTTTCCCATAATAAAGGATCCCAGTAACCTAAAATGTATGGGTATTGCAAAACTTACCCACCACTGGAGAGGTGGTAATATTATTAATAAACTTGGTCAAAAAGAGATGGAATGGGTATACTATTTAGATACCCTCTACTCCAATGGTTTAAATGCAGATTTTTGACCTGTATAATTTTTTATAATCTAATAAACAATATTTTTTTTAGATATTTATATACTCCAATCTATTCTGATCCAGTTTTTCTATTCCCCCTGTTTTTTCTACTTGTAAGGACTATTTTCTCCACGTGATTGCTTGTTTAATAAGCTTTTGTTTAAAATAAAGTATTTTTAAAGGTATATTTTCATTTTATAAAAATTTTTTTATCATCATATACCTGTCATCATCTTCTGGTGTATCCTGCATATCTTAGGTGAGGATAATACCACCAACGGTCTTCATACCAGAGCAGGCCATTGCTCTGCATATTGTAAGTAGGATACCACTTTTTATCCTTTACTTTGTGTATATACATACTATACCATAAGACCTTTCTATTGTGTTCTATTGTGTTTTCTCATATATACTAAACGGAAAACTCTGGAAACTCTGACTCCCATCAGCCTGAGCCACTGGACCCCAAGGAAAGTCACCCTCCTGCACCTAAAAGGTAGGAAACAGGAGGGTGACTAAAACATTTTGTATGTGTGTCTGTTTGCATGTGTCTGTATATGTGTGTGTTTGTGTATGCGTGTCTGTATAAATGTTTCTCTGTATGTGTGTGTGTATGTCTGTCTGTGTATTTGTATGTATGTGTGTGTATGTCTGTATGATTTCCCGCCCTTACAATGCCCCCTTTATTATGGACTGACGAAATGGAGACTGGCTGGCTTTTGCCAGCATTAAATATGGAGATCGGCGGGGACCGGAAGTGACGTCGCGGCTGTTGCGATACGTCACTTCCAGTTTCGAGTGAATTAACAATAGAAGCCAATGAAGATTGCACTGTTATTGGATGGTAGACGGCGGGAAAATTAAAGTATTTGGACCAATGAGGAGGTATCCTACAGTATTTAAAACGGCACACTATAACAGCAGGACACCGATTGAAAAAGCCTGGACATAAGGCGAAACGCGTCTCGGACACTGGATAACAAGGACTTTCTTTTACTTGGACCATTACTTAATGGTATTTTATTTATTTATTTTTATGTATATGTAATACATTTATTTTATATTTTTTTTACATCTAAGTCCCTTGAAGTGTTACTTTCCTGCTGCATAAAGAAGAGTGGTGCCCTCTTAAAGGCACAGTGCCGTTACAACTGAGAGCCCAGTATACATTGGCTCTCAACTAGGTGAGCATACATCTTTATTCATGTGCATAGCTCTATTGATTTTAACGATATCACACAAGGATTTTCTATCCTTTTGTTTCTCTTTTTGAGCATCTATTCAAACAAGATTGAAGAAGTTGGGTATTCACTATAAATACCACTGTGACTGTGATTTGAGCCTATCCTCTCCAGGCTCTCAACCATATATATTCATGAGTATATATACATCCCTTTATATAAGGGTAAGTTGTTATTCATACTATTAGCGCTCCACTGGGCTTTGTTGGTTGTGACTATTGGTCTCACCTATAACGCTCCACTTTTTCTCTGTATGATTGTGTCTCTATGTTTGTGTGTATGTGTGTGTGTGTTTATGTATGTCTGTGCGTTTGTATGTGTCTATATGTCTGTATGTGTGTATTCCTGTATATGTGTGTGTGTCTGCATGTGTATCTGTTTGTCTGTATGTGTACGTAGGCAGCACAACGTATTGGAGAGGGAGGGTAGACATACGGGGGTGCGGCGGGGGTAGATGTATGGGGGGCCCAAGGGCAAGGTTTGCATCAGGGCCTGTGGTTTCTAGTTACGCCTCTGGAAGCTGCACATTGACCTCTGTCAGCTTAATGAGAGCTAATTTCACAGTTGATATAGACGTGATAACCTGTGAAACAGAACAAGCTTCGCCTCTGCTGAAAAGCTATGAAGGAGCCAGTTCAAGAAGTGTAGAGTGCGCACTCGCTATCTTACTAGACTAGATAGTGCAGAAAGAGTTAAATCATTGATATTACTTTATTAACTAATGAAAAATTCATAAATAAAAATAATAAAGACAAAGTGGGTTAGAAATACTTTCTAAAAAACAGTAATAGATTATCACGAAAAAAAAGAAAGCATTCTAAAATTAAACAGAATTTAAAACAAATTTCAAAATTGAACGAAACTAATTTAATTCTCAATAAATTAATAATACATTTAAACTTTGAATCTGTGTTGTCAATTTGTTATATTTTGGCTTGTAAATTAATGCAGAAAATACATTTAGTGAGGTATAAGAGAAATTGTATTTTGGAAGTACCCCAAAGAAAACGATCAGAGATGAAATGGCTAAGTGAAAAGACTTAAAATTCCCCATATTAAATAGCCAAAGATGTCATATTTTACAAATGGTAAAAAAATGGGTTACAAAACGATGATGGTAAAGTGCAGGCAGGGGATACTATAGTGTCCCAAAAGTAACAATGGTTTGATAAATGAGTGAAAACTGGGAATGTGAGTGGACCCTTTAACTTTTCACAAATCTGACAAAAGGTCTACATGTAATGTAATAGCGGAGGTAGAAGGATGCAACTCTGGGATCTGGAAATAGTACTGGGACATACATGTCTGTGACATTCCTCATGAAGATGAAATGTGTTTGAAACATACAAATAATTAAATAAAGCACGCAATATAACCAGGTAAGTGTGCATATGCAAATAGTTTAACAAGTTACTATGGGACAGCACTGGGGATTCCTGGCATCATAAACACTGTGGCGCAAACTAGAAAAAAAACATTTTGCGCAGCTACATAATTCAGGACTAAGTGTAACTGTACATAGCTCTTGTTGATCCTTGGATCCATTTCTTAGCTTTGTCAGTAGTTTAACTTATTTTCATCCACAGTAAAGTTCAGTATGTTACTGGGTACCGCTGGGCTAAGAGCAACGAATGCTTGGTCCTTTTTTTTCTTTTTGGTATGCAGTGTTCCTTTCTCCTACAAACACATATCTCCCAATTGTCCTAACTTTGGTGGCAATTTTGGTCTTTATTCCCACCTTCCCTGTAGCGTGCTTGACTGCCCTTCAGTGTGTATGGGGGAAAAAAGTGCTCTAGCATTAGCCAAGTACCACAGAACCCAGTAAGGAAGTGCAAAATAAACTACAGTGAAAGGCATTTTAAACAGTGAATCAGCAGTATTAAATTGCAACAGAGGGACTAGTAGTTCAGCAAAGGGAATTACGTTTTTGAACTTGTTAATTGACACCTTCATGTCACAACTTGTACAAGCACCAACTAGAAAGGACGCTTGTCTGGACCTAGTTCTAACAAACAACGTTGTTCTGACCAACATTCAAGTAGGTGATCACTTGGGAAATAGTTATCACAATATAGTGTCCTTTGAAATAAACTCAAAAAAACTAAAGAATATGGGGTATACTAAAAAATAAAATTTAAAAAGGCCAATTTCTAAAAGTTAAGGGACGCTTTACAATATATTGACTGGCATAAACTCTTTAGTGAAAAGAACACGGAGGATAAATGGAACATCTTCCAACAAATATTAGAAAGGTACATTTCTCAGTATGTAGCATTGGGTAATAAATATAAAAGAAACAAATTAAAACCAATGTGGCTTAGTAGAGAAGTAAAACAAGAGATTAAAAATAAGAAAATGGCATTTAAATCGGACAAATCAGAGACATCCTATAAAAGATATAAGGAAGCCAATAATGTGTGCAAAACAGAGATTAGGTTTCGCTAAACTTCAAAATGAAAAAATGATAGGCAAAGAGAGCAAAACCAACCCCAAAGGATTTTTTTTTTTTATTATTCTTTATTTTTCCGTACTCGGTTGTACAAATAAATGACATCTGACATCTCAGCGTATTTTCAACTTTCAAGCATGTAACTGTAACAATTGTTCTGACATCATTGGAGGTGGTTGACAGGGTGTTCTTTGAAATGTGTTTGGTAGGCACAATGGGTTTTTATTTGGATCAGGTTAGGTGACATGCCCAGAGCTTGTAAAATGTTAGCATGTTAAGTGTTGGTGCGTGTTGCGCTCCCGGGATACTACAGACTTAAGGATAAAGGTGTGCTCCTGTAGTTTCAGGAGGATGCAGTGCTGCATTGGACCTTGCTCGTGTGTATTATCAGGTTGGTTGTTGTGTGTAAGTAGTGCCAGGGTGTGTATGTCCTGTGGGCATTATGTGCAGTGTGAGAATCAAGTTTGTGTGAGTTGTAGTCTGTGCGGTATTTCGATGGTGGTCTGACATGCCTAATGTTACCCCTGGCCTAGGGGATGGTGGGGGGGGTATTTCAGACGCTATTCGTCTTGGACAGCCTGATGGTTAGAGGCTAGTTACTTGCTTGGCGGGAAGGGTGTGCATGTTGTGTGTGTAGAGATAAAATAAATAAATAAAAGAGGGGGGAAACAAAGGGAAAAGAAGAACATTATGCAACAGAAAATGAAACTGTGGGCTCTTTGTTGGTTGGAATAAAAGTCCTGATAGACAGTTCGGTTATGGTGTCTAGTTAGCCACGGGGCTAAATATAGATAAGGTTATCTCAGTTCCTGTCATGGCTTAGGTATTCGGGGGCTGCAGGCTCTTCAACGCTGGTCCGGTGGAAGTGCTAGCTGTTTGGTCCCTGGTTGCGTTGTGGTTGTCTTCTGTAGTGTGGTGTGGCCCCGGTTGGAGTCCCAGTGCAGTCAGGAAGGCCAGAGCTCCCATCAGGGAGGTGAGGTTGTGAGTGGTCCCCTCATAATGGACGAGTAAAGAGCCGGTGTTGCCCCATCTGTATGGTATGTTTGCTTTACGTAGAGTGGTCGTCACAGCGCCAAATGTTTTACGTCTGAGCAGTGTGGCTCTGGTGAGGTCTTGAAAAAATAATAGTTTTGCATCCTCGAATTCTAGTGGCGTTTTGCCCTTCAGGGCAGTCACGATTTGAATCTTGTCATGTATGGCGACACAGCGTAAGATGACATCTCTGGGGGTATCGTGTGTGATGCAGACAGAGCTTGTTACACGATATATACCGTCCAGAGTGATTTTCTTTGCCACTGACTGTGACAGGATAGGTTGTCAGGAGGCGTCGCGTGTAGTGCGGCAGTTCTTCAGTGGTGATGGTGTTGGGTATGACACAGATTTTTATGTGTTTTCGTCGTTGGCTGTCTTCGAGGGACATTATTTGGGATGCTAGTACTTGCTGTTCCTGTTGCAGCTGTTGAAGTAAGTCTTTCAGGGTGGTCATATTGTTGTGCACTCCTGCTATGTCTGTTTCTGTGGTTGTGATTCGGTCTGTGACTGTTTGCATATCTCTTTTGATCAGGGCTATGTCAGCAGCCAGTAGCCTCTGTTTGTCTGCCAGGATCACTTTTAGTGGTGGGGGCTGAGTCCTCTGGCGAGGGGTTTAGTAAGCCCAACCTGGGGGTGCTGTGCAACTGGGGTTGTCTTTCCCTCTATTTCTGGGACGGGGGCCATTTTTGGCAGGTGGTCCGCTTGAGTTGGCGCGTCTTGTGCTGGTCTCAGGAGCATTTCCCCAATGTCGCTACCTTGGGTGCTGACGCCTGCTGTAGGTTTAGGAGTGCGGGGCCCATGGTTGGTGTGTCCGGCGGGGAGTATGCCAGGTAGTCTCGGCCCTCTCGCGGTCCGCCGAAAAGCGCCTCGAGGTTGAGGGCTGGTGTGGTGCGGTAGGCAGGGGATTTACGCCGTTGCCTGGTTTGCTTGGCGGCTTGAAAGAACGGCTTGAAAGAACGGCATCAATGCGTTCGCCCCGTCATCGTGATGCTGGGTGAGTACTTTATTTGGGCCGATGGTCCCTGTGTGGAGTGATATTTACAAGATTAGAGTCGGCTATCCAGGAGCTGAAAGAAATGGCGTCCGTTCAGGTTAGTTGACAGTAGGCACACTAAAATCTGGGATGGGGGTGTTAGTTAATGAAGACCAGGAAAAGGCAGAAATTTTAAATAAGTATTTCTCCTCTGTATATATTAAACCATGGCAATAGATGTGCAAATGATTGTTGCTAAAAACTTGCAGAACAATTGTAATTGGTTAACTTAAGACAAGGTGCTGCAGCAACTAAAGAAAGTTAATATAAACAAAGCTCCAGGGCCTAACGGTATTTATCCACGTGTACTTAAGGAACTAAGTGTAGAAATAAGTGAACCTCTGATTTTTTATTTTATTTTTCAATTTGACAATTTTTATTTTGTCATACATCAAAAAGCAGTATATGGGGGTACAGAATAAAAAGGGGAGGTGGGGAGGGAACTAGGCAACGTTATTTACACGTACACTTGCTGCCTTGGATACGTACATTATGTAGTTCACATCACACATTACGCGTTCCACATTTCCAATGCTAGCGTATACAATTTTAACCATTACACTTTAAACGTTCATATTTTCCCAATCCGTATTTGCTACCTTTCTCGGAGTCGCAAGTGTAGTATGGAGTGCTGGTCGTAATATCGCCACTTGTGTGGTTGGACTAGTGTCTAGCGGGTAAATTAGTTTTGCAACACGTGTGTTGTGTTGCTCGCCCTTATCCCGTGCGTATTGTCGACCCCCTGTCGACCCCCTGCCCCTGTATACTGGTCTCCTTCAGGGAGTCTGGGTTCTTCTCCCCTCGGGAGCTTGCGTAATGTGGTTGCCTGGTGGTAGCGTCTGGGCTAGGCGTTCGTGAACTACTAGCGGGGTGCTCACTAGACCGGCTGTTTAGATACATATTAAGTTGTAGCTCGATAGTTGTGTGTGGGGGGGGTGGGGGTAGGGTGTGCAGAGAAGGGAAGGGAAAGAATTAAGGGAAGAAAGGGGAAGAGATTCAGTTTGTGGACCTCTTGAAAATGGTGTTCCTCTTTGCCCTCCCTCAGGGCCTATGTTTCCTAGTTGCTAGTTCTACCTTTCTACCTCCAATGTACCATCGGTTCTATGTGTTAGGACCTCCTCCCAGGTCAAGTCTCAGACGTTCCCCGTCTCTCTAGCTTTGGTTCTCTACTCGATCTCTCGTGTCTTAGCGTACCTATGCGTCCTGAGTTCTGGAGTGGTGTGAACTTCTCTGAATGTATTTTGCCCATTTGTTTTTTGTGTCTATGATCGTGTGGTTATTTGTAATGTATTTATTTGCCATAGCCTCATATTCCCAGTTTGTGGATGTTTGTGTTAGGAGATCGTGTTTGCTGGGTGCTTGTGGTTGTTTCCACTGTCTGGCTATCAGGGTTACTGCCGCTATGAGCACTTGGAATATCAATTGTCTTTCCTGCTTGTGCCATTGGGCAAAATGCATGAATAGTATGCCCTGTTCAGGCCCCAAGCTGTAAGGGCGGCCTATCATGTCAGTGATTATCTCTTCCACCATCTCCCAGTAGGGAGTGATTATCGGGCACGTCCACCAAATGTGGTACATTGTCCCCCTTTCTCCGCAACTCCTCCAGCATTCCCCTGAGCTTCCCGGGTATAGTTTCGCTAGTTTGTCTGGGACCATATACCATCTGTACATAATTTTCCTCATTGTTTCTAGGTGAGTCGTGCATGATGTGTGCCCTTTGTGTGTTTGGAATGCCTGTTTCCAGTCTAGGTCTGCTATTGGGCGTCCTATGTCTTTCTGCCAGGCATCTCTAAAGTCTCCGTGTCTGTTTGTATCTACTGCATTCAGTAGCGCATATAGTTTCGACAGGATTTTTTTGGGTATACTGCCCTGTAGGCATATCTGTTCTAAGGCGCCAATATTTGGTGGTTCGGCACATGGACCCTTGCAGTGTGAGGCCACAAATGATTTCAGATGGAGGTAAGGGAATATGTGTCTGGATTGCAAGGAGAACTTGGTTTGCAGTGCTGGGGATGGCAGTAACTCGTTGTCCACGCATATCTGGCTAAGGTGGGTACATCCCCCTCTCACCCAGGGGGTGTGGTCAAACGTCGGTATGCCCACTGAGATGCTCGTGAGTGGGATATTCCCTATAGTTGGTCCGACCCTCACAGTGATGCCCTCACAGAGTCCCATGTTTTGATCATTGCTGTCGTGGTTGGTAACATGGTTGTGTACGGCGGTCGTAGTTTGTACGGCAGCTGGTATAGGTGTCGCAGCCCCTGTTTGCATGCCCAGTGTGTTTCTATGTGGACCCATTGGGGGGGGTCTTCTACTGCGTTTGTCGCTGCTATGGCAGTCAGCAATGTGGCTCTATGGTAAGAACGGATGTTGGGCATGCCCAGTCCCCCTTCTTTGATCGGTTTTTGTAGGAGCTTGCTGGCCACGCTCACCTTGCGGTTGGCCCACACAAACCGTACGATCAGCTTTTGGATTGTGCTCATGTATTGGCCCGGCAGACTAATCGGGACTGTGCGCAGCAGGTATTGGAGTTTGGGAAGTATAGACATCTTAATCGCCGCCAGTCTGCCCAACCACGAGAGATATTTGCCCTCCCATGTGTGTAGCGTGTCTGTAAATGATTTGATCAGTTTAGTAAAGTTTAACTTGAACAAATGGGGTAGGTGGGGGGGGTATATGGACGCCCAAGAAGGTAATATAATCCTTCCTCCAGTCGAATGAGAAAAGCTCACTCAAATGTTTCAGCCAGTGAGACTGGACTCCCACACCCATAGCCTGGGATTTAGTGACATTCAATTTGTAGTAGGAGTTAAGGCCGTATTCTAATGTCTTCCATGAGGTTTGGTAGTGAAATTTGGGGTTGCGTTAGTGTCAACATGACATCGTCCGCAAACAAATTGATTTTGTATTCCCTGTCGCCCACTGTTACTCCGTGTATGGAGCTGTTGGCCCGTATTGTCTCCGCTAGCGGCTCTAAAGCCAACCCATATAGTAAGGGGGAGAGTGGGCATCCCTGCCTCGTTCCGTTAGTGATGCTAAACGGTTCCGATGTGAAGCCTGCCGTGACTACCTGTGCCGATGGTTTGCTGTATAAGGCCTCCACCGCCGAGCAGAATGCCCCCGGCATCCCAAACTTATCCAGGACTGCTTTCAGGAACCTCCAGCTCAGGCGGTCAAAGGCCTTCTCCGCGTCTAGTGAGAGCGTTACACATTCTGTATGTTGGCTGTGGACACTATGTATAATGTCGATGACCTTTCTCGTGTTGTCCCCCCCTTGTCTCCCTCTAACGAATCCGACTTGATCATTCCTTATCAGGTGTGGGAGGATCGTGCCCAGTCTGATGGCGTATATTTTCGCGAAGAGTTTTGTGTCTGTGTTCAGTAGTGATATCGGTTGAAAATTTTGTGGGTGGATTGGTGTCTTGCCCGGTTTAGGCAATGTAATGATATGAGCTTTGAGGGCTTCTGGCGGGAGTGCGTGCTTCGTGGCTGCTTCATTAAAAGCATTAGTAATGTGAGGGGCTAGGGTTCTTTGGAAGTACTTGTAGTAACAGTTGGCGAACCCGTCTGGACCTGGGGCTTTATCGGAAGGTAGAGAGTCAATCGCTCTCATCACCTCCGTTTCTGTTATCAATGCGGACAGGCTGTCCTGCTGAGCGGGTGTAAGTTTGGGCAGGGCAATCTTGTCTAAGTAGGAGGCTATTTTGGCCTCCTGTGGTTGGGGTGTGTTTGGGTCGTCCCTGAGATTGTACAATGCTTCGTAGTATTTGGCGAATGCGTTGCTAATGTCCTTGGGTGCCACTATTTTCTGTCCGCTTGGAGACAGCAAGTACGCTATTTTTTGGGCTGCTTGTTGTGACTTTAATCTTTGTGCTAACAGTTTACCTGCCTTGTTTCCCTGTGTGTAGTTTTGTGCCTTTAGCCTTTTCAGGTGGTATCCCACTTGTTCTAAGGACATTTGGTGTATCTGTCTTGTGAGTTTCGTGATTTGTTCCCGCAGTTCGTGTGAGGGAGTTATTTGGTTTTGTGTCGTGGCGCGCTGGAGGTCTGTTTGGCATGTGTGGAGCTGAAGGTGGGATTTCCTTTTTAGGTATGCTGCCCGCTGTATCAGTTGTCCCCATATCACTGATTTGTGGGCCTGCCACAGGGTACCGTGGCTCGTTTCAGGTCTATCATTGTCTTGGAAATATTGGGCTAAGTTTTGGTTCAGCTCCGTGCAGAAGGCGCTATCTTTCAGTAATGCTGTGTTTATTCGCCACGGGCTTCTATGGGTCGAGTCATATAGGTTTTTCAACGTTAGCTCAACCGGGGCATGGTCGGACCATGTAATCTGTCCTATCTCGCACTTGGCCGTTTGGTCTATCCCTGTCCCTGAGATAAGGAAGCCATCAATGCGGGAATAGGTGTTGTGCACTGTCGAAAAGAATGTATACCCTCTTTCCCCTAGTGGCTCTCCATACATCATACAGATGGTTGTTGTGTATAAGCTTGCAGAGTGCCTTACTTTGTTTGCGGAGGGGTGCGTTGCGCTTTCTAGCTGGAGCTAGTGTCATATCTATGGAAGGGTCAAATACATGATTGAAGTCGCCACATATGACTGTCGTCCCTAGCTGTACTGACTGCAGTTTCTGTATAAGTTTGTGTAAAAAGTTGCGTTGGTTCGTGTTGGGGGCGTATATGTTCGCTATGGTGTAGGGCATGTCATTAAGCCTGCCTACTATAATGACGTATCTGCCGTCCGGGTCAATGTGTTGGGAATGCGGGGCATAGGCCACATTTTTGCTAATTAGTATGGAGGTGCCTTTGGTTTTGCTGGCCGATGTGGCGTGGATTTGTATAGGATAATCTTTCTGTAGGACGGTGGGGTGTGCGTTGGTCATGAAATGTGTCTCTTGAATTCATAGAACGTCTACTGCTTTATGTTTGATCTCTCGGTATAGGAGGTGTCTCTTAACCGGGATGTTCAGTCCCCTAACGTTGTGTGAGTAGATTTTCAGGGTGGGAGGTGGTCATAAGATGGTATTTGTGCTTGTGTTCGACATATATATTTCGGGGGGTCCTTGTGTCCCAGTTCCTCCGAACTCAAGGGCTGTCCCCTGGTAACCTGAGGGCTATTTCGCATGTCTTTTGGCTCAGAGGGAGAGAGCGGCATGGTCTCCGCTCTATCTAATTTTGGTCGGTAGCTTACGGAGTGCATCGCAGGTGGGAGGGGTGTATGAGGTGCAAGCATGAATACAAACATAAAAACATAATAGGTAACAGAAATGGGTAAACTATAACAAATCAACTTTTTGCCGAAATATCGGCTATGCACCAGGTGGTGGTGCGATGGGGGTAGGAACTAATGGTTCCTGTCCTGGCTGCGGTTCGTCGGCCGCGGCCTTTTCTCTCGTGTTTTGCTTTTGTCTGGGTGACCCTTTTTTTTTTTGAAAAGGTTGCGTGGATGGGCTGTCGCTGTCTGCCTGCCAGTGTCCTGAGATTGCATGTTGGTATAGTGTAATAATCTCTCTATATAGTAGTGTGGCGGAGCTTTCTAGGGTCTGGGGGGGGCGTGAGTGTGAGCTCCCCTGCCTAGGCCTTTCCCGGTGTTGGTCTCCATGTCACTATATCCATGACCTAGGCTCCTATCTAGCCTTGTTCCCCAGATTACATATGTCGCTTTACATCCTCCGCTCTCCCCCCAGTCGCCATCCCCCTTGTCTTTGCCTGCACATCTGTAGTGTAGCTCCTATTTACATTGCCATTAAACATAGAAAATTTAACAAAGCAAATGTTATACAAGCCTGAATTCAAATGGCTGGATTAACATTTCTCAGGTTCAGCGACACAGCACCCTCCCAGCAAGGCGAGTTAACGTTTGGCTTTCCTCCATGATGGAGGGAGTCTTTGAGTCTCTTTCGTTGCGGGCGGAATTTCTATGCCCCAGGTTCTGAGGATTTTCATTCCTTCGTCTGGGCTCTGTATTGTAGTTGGTCTTCCGTTTCTCTGTACGATCAGCTTCACCGGGTATCCCCATCTGTATGGTATTTGTTGTTGGCGGAGTTGCGTCGTGATTCCTGCAAAATCCGTCCTGCGTTTAAGCGTGTATGCTGAGATGTCGGCATAAATTGCTATTGCCTGGTATGCCGCCGGCATGTCTGTTTTTTTCCTGGTTCTGTTTGCTCTCATTACCTCTTCCTTTATGTGAAAGTAATGCATTCTCAGCAACACGTCTCTAGGGGTTTCAGGTGGTAAGAAGGTGGGTTTTGGCACTCTGTGAGCCCGGTCCATCAGGAACATGTCAGGGGGCACATCAGGGGCGAGCGCTTTGAATAGTTGAACCTCTGATTTTAATATTGCAAGATTCTTTTCTTTCAGGAAGTGTTCCGGAGGATTGGAGGAAGGCAGATATGGTTCCTACATTCAAAAAGGGTTCAAAATCCTTGCCTGGAAATATTAGACCTGTGAGCTTAACGTCTGTGGCTGGAAACGTATGTGAAAGGTTATTAAGGGATAATATTCAAGAATTCCTTGAGAAAAACATGGTTAAAAATCTACATGGTTTTATGAAGCACAGGTCATGTCAAACTAACATGATTGCATTCTACGAAGAAGTAAGTAGAAGTATAGATCAGGGTGTTGCAGTCGATGTGATCAATTTGGATTTTGCCAAGGCATTTGATACAGTTCCACACAATAGATTAGTGTTCAAACACAAAGAAATTGGTCTAGACGAAAATTCTTGTTATTGGGTAGAACATTAGCTTAAAAATAGAATAGAGGTGGCAAGTGGTGTCCCTCAGGATTCTGTTCTGGGATTTAACATGCTTATAAATGATCTTGAAAAAAGCATTAAAAGTCATGTTTCAGTGTTTGCAGATGACACAAAATTCTGTAAAGTAATACAACGTGAGCAAGATATTACTTTGCTGCAGAGGGATTTAGATAGACTGGGGGATTGGGCACTCAAATGGCAGATGAAATTTAATGTTGAAAAATGCAAAGTTATGCACTTCGGCGTAAAGAATGCACAAGCAACATATACCCTTTATGGAAGAGAATTAGAGATAACACTTGAAAAGGACTTGTGAATTGTTATAGACAACAAACTATGCAATAATGTGCAATGTCAATGTGCAACGAGGAAGGCTGAACTTGATGGATGCAAGTCTCTTTTCAGCTATGTAATCAGGCCCGGGCTGGCCATCGGGCTGGCCATCGGGCAAACCGGGCAAAGAGTTCACTTATCATGAGGACCACCAGGGATGGATGTCAGCAGCACGAACCGCCCCATTCCAGGCTACAGGTAAGAAGGGAGCGGAGGTATTATTATTATATCATTTATATAGGGCCATCAAATTCCGCAGCGCTTTACAATGGATGGACGAACAGACATGTATGTAGCGGATGGCACTGGGCTGTCCTGCAAATGTCTTTGAAATTACTGCATTCGTGTGATCTGCTAGTTTTCTATGTGTGTTAAAAGAATTGTATTCCTCTGATTGTTCGGTAGTTTCATTCCCTTAGTTTATTCGAAAGAAAATACCGAACAACCAGACCTCCCCTGTGTGAAGTGTGTCCTCAATTACCCGTTGCAACATTGTTGCGAACAGGTAATTGACTAGTAAGTAGCCATCCTTTGTTCTCGGGGGTGGCCGCCATTCGACAAACGAACACGTGGCGGTGGCCATTTTAAAACTACCGAACAGCGGTGTTTTGCCGTCGAGTGTCTGGAACTAAAATCGGACACTTGAGTAGGCGAACACTGCTGAGACCTCCACAAGCCCGGTCCGTTCGGTTCCAAACTACCGAACGGCCCCTGTTCGGTGCTCCTGAAACTGTGTGTCGTCCAGTTATTGGGATCGCTGTGGGGATATTGCTGTTATTTTACCTGCTGGAAACCTTGCCTGTGGATTTATTATTTGCTTGTTCCTGAGCCTCACTTGGATCATAAGCGGAGATAACCTGGGGAATATTGCATCTCCGCTACATTGGTTGGCAGCGGTGGGATCCAGACTCACAAGGGAACAAGGACTAATGGAATACGGATGGAGAGTGATTATGCCAAGCTTAAAAGATCCACGCTAAAAGATCTCCTGGAAGCGAAAGGTATTGCAGCCAGCAACAAAAGGAAAGCAATCCTCATTGCAGAAGTGATGGCTGAATACCAGCAGGAGGACAGGGCAATCCCTGAGCAGCAGAGTGCAGCAGATGGAGCTGAAAAAGAGGAGTTCCAGAGACAGCTGCAGTTCAGGCTGTCCTTTTATGGAGAGAATCCAACAGCGGATATTATATCCAGGACAATGACAGAGGTGCAGGAGTTTATACTGCGTCAAAGGCCACTACAGCAGCTGGAGAGGAATGCTACCACAGCTACCATCACACAGGGTAAGACAAAAATTCCTAACCAAGCCTTTAAAACGTATGTAGAAGCAGAGGAGGATATAGATGCTTTTCTCCAAGACTTTGAAAGGCTGTGTGCATTGCATAATATTAGCCCAGACGAGTGGGTGCCTATTTTAGCAGGGAAGCTCACAGGGAAGGCTGCTGAAGCCTATAGAACTGTACCTGATGAGGAAATTCGGAATTACCGCAGAGTAAAAGAGGTGATCCTGGCCCGATATGCAATCACGCCAGAGGCATATCGGCAGCGGTTTAGAGACCTAAATAGAAAGGACAAGGACTCTCATGTGGAATGGGCCTGCAAATTACATCGGGCCGCCCTGGGATGGGTACAGTCCAATAAGGCTCGGTCCATGGAGGACTTATTACAAATGGTGTTGTTGGAGCAATTTTATGAGGGGGTAACCAGCGATGTCCAGGAATGGGTGAGGGACAGAAACCCTACCTCCCTCACCGAAGCTGCCAGGAAGGCAGATGAGTACCTGGATGCATGCAGGCAACAGAAACCTGCAGCCCCAAAAGCCACCTTTAAAACATTTGGGGGAAACAGCTACAACCCAGCTCCACCGAGACAACTGCCACCACCACCACCACCCGCTGCGCAGCCACGTTTTCGCCAGCCCACTTCTGGCCCCTGTCATCACTGCCAGAAATGGGGACATTATAAAAGGGAATGTCCCCAGCTGAGGGATCGTTCCACCAAGAGCAGCCGCAGCCCACCACTACCAAGATATAGTGGCTACACCATATGGTTCAGCCGTTCCCATAACAACCGTGGAACAGTGGGAAGTACTGCACGAGGCGGATCCAGTCCAGGCCAATGCTGATAACAGACAGCATCACAGGTAGACCGTATACCTGGAGGGTAAAGCAGTACAAGGATTACGTGACTCAGGGGCCACTATCACCCTGGTGAAGAGTCACCTGGTGTCGGATCAAGCGAAACTGAGTAAAACTGTGGCCATCAGGGTAGCCGGGGGAGCAGTGTACCGGCTACCTACAGCAAGGGTACATTTACATTGGGGAGCGGGGGCAGGGCATGTGGAGGTGGGGTTGATGCCGCAGTTACCGGCGGAGGTATTGTTGGGTTGGGGAACAATCTGGGGAGGCTCACGTCTGCTTTTGAGCCCCAGACACCCACCACAGGAGAAGCTCACCCTGTGGTCACCCGTCAACAGGCCCGCACCCAGGACTACAACACACTTCCGGAGGTTCAGGTAAGAGACCCTTCCCCTTCCCTTGACTGTGTTCCCTGGGCCCCTCCTAACGAATTTGCAGTTGAGATAGCGACTGACCCCACCTTGCAGGTGTATAGGGACAAGGTGACAGCAGACCCTCCTGGGGGAGAGGGAGAGAGATTTGTCTGGGACAAGCAGCTGTTGTACAGGGAGACAGACAAGCAGATTGATGGGTCAGACCCAATAGTGATGAGGCAGCTAGTGGTGCCGCAGCGGTACCGAGCAGAGCTACTATGGATAGCGCACGATATCCCGCTATCCGGACATCTAGGGGTCAGTCGCACTAGGTACAACTGACCCAAAGTTTCTTCTGGCCAGGGATCAGCCAGGAGGTACGCAGGTATTGCACCACCTGCGATACCTGCCAAAGGGTAGGGAAAAGGGGAGACCGGAGGAAGGCGAAACTACACCCCCTGCCCATAATTGAGGAACCTTTTAGCCGAATAGCGGTAGACTTGATAGGCCCCCTCAAGAAAGCTAGCCCGTCAGGCAAAAGGTACATTTTAACGGTAGTAGACTATGCTACTAGATATCCAGAGGCAGTGGCTCTGACCAACATTCACGCTGAAACGGTCGCGGATGCCCTCATGCAGATATTCTCCCGGTTGGGATTACCCAGGGAGATTATCTCGGATCAGGGTACCCAATTTACCGCAGAATTCACCCAACACCTCTGGAGGATCTGTGGCATTAAGCCTATTATCAGTGCCCCTTACCACCCCCAGACTAATGGGCTCTGCGAACGGTTCAATGGTACATTGAAACAAATGCTCCGAACCTTCGCAGAGACCCACAAGGACTGGGAGCGGTTCCTACCGCATCTCCTATTCTCTTACCAGGAGGTGCAGCAGGAATCCACAGGGTTTTCCCCGTTTGAACTGCTATTTGGGAGGAGAGTCAGAGGCCCCTTAGATCTTATAAGAGAGCATTGGGAGGGAGATCGGAGCGCAGATGGCACTCCCATCATACCATATGTGTTGGCCCTCCGAGACCGCCTGGAAGCATTAACTAGGACGGTAAAGGAAAACCTTCAGGCGGCACAGACCCGTCAGCGCACATGGTATGATCGGGGAGCCAGGGACCGTAGCTTTCAGGTCGGGCAGAAAGTGCTAATTTTAAAGCCTGTCCGCCATGACAAGCTACAGGCCGCCTGGCAGGGACCTTATAGGGTGGTGGAACAGAGATGTGACACCACCTATATAATTGGCCCCTGCACAGGGACGGGAGGGCGACGCATGCTCCATGTGAACATGATGAAGCCCTACCAAGAGCGCTCCGAGGAGGTAACCGCCATATGTGCGCCCAATTCTGACAAGTTTGACAGCTTACCACTCCCAGATCTGCTGGAAGATGGGCAGCTGTCTGGGGATTTAGGGGAAGTCGCACTGGGAGACCAGCTGAGTCCGCAGGAGCGCATCGAGGTACAGCGGCTGTTGGAGGAGAAACGAGACACGTTCTCTAATGTACCTGGGTACACCCCTCTGGCCACTCACCGGGTAGAGACCCCAGGGCAACTACCCATGCGCCAGACCCCCTACCGCATCCCGGAAGCGGTAAGGGAAAACATGCGCAAGGAGATCGATGAGATGCTCCAACTGGGGGTGATTTAGCCCTGAGATAGTCCCTGGGCTTCTCCGGTAGTGCTCGTACCGAAGCGGGACGGTACGACCCGCTTCTGCGTAGACTACCAGAGATTAAACGAGAAAACTGTGTCCGATGCATACCCTATGCCACGGATAGATGAGCTACTGGACAGAATGGCCAGGGGTCAATACCTCACTACCATTGACTTATGTAAGGGGTATTGGCAAATTCCCCTGGCCCCAGAGGCCATCCCGAAGTCGGCCTTTGTCACCCCATTTGGCTTGTACCAGTTTAAGGTCATGCCATTTGGGATGAAAAACGCCCCAGCTACTTTCCAGAGGATGGTAGACCGACTCCTGGATGGGTTCCAAGACTACACCTGTGCCTACCTGGACGATATTGCCATTTTTAGCAATATGTGGCAGGAGCACTTGGCCCATATAGGAGCGGTTCTAGACAGGATTAAGGAAGCTGGTTTGACATTGAAACCGGCCAAGTGCAGCATAGGGATGGCCGAGGTGCAGTACCTCGGACATAGAGTGGGGTGCGGCAAACAGAAGCCCGAACCAGCCAAAGTAGAAGCCGTGGCCCAGTGGCCCACCCCTAGGACTAAAACCCAGGTATTAGCCTTTCTAGGGACCGCTGGGTATGTTTGTCCCTAACTATAGCGCCCTCGCCAAGCCCCTCACTGACCTTACCCGGAAGAATCTGCCCTGCCAGGTGACCTGGACCCCGGAGTGTGAGCAGGCATTCCAACATCTGAAAAATGCACTGATAAATGCTCCTGTCTTGGCAGCTCCCAATCCAACTAAACGTTTTCTTGTTCACACAGACGCTTCTATGTTTGGATTGGGAGCAGTACTGAGCCAAGTCGGAGCCGATGGCGGAGAACACCCCATGGCTTACATCAGTCGCAAGCTGTTACCCCGAGAAGTAAGCTACGCCGCCATCGAGAAGGAATGCCTGGCTGTGGTGTGGGCCTTAAAGAAACTGCAGCCGTATCTATATGGACAGCCCTTTTCCTTACTCACGGATCACAACCCGCTGGTATGGCTAAACCGGGTGGCTGGGGACAATGCCAGGCTGCTGCGCTGGAGTTTGGCGCTGCAGCCTTTTGACTTTAATATTCAGTACCGCCCGGGTAAGCAGAATGGGAATGCCGACGGGTTGTCGAGACAAACTGACCTGGAAAAATGATCCGTGAGTCCCCGGACATCCCCAAGCTGATCCGTGTTGGATCAGACTGTGTATGTCGGCTTGTGGGCAAGGGGGAGCAGTGTAGCGGATGGCACTGGGCTGTCCTGCAAATGTCTTTGAAATTACTGCATTCGTGTGATCTGCTAGTTTTCTATGTGTGTTAAAAGAATTGTATTCCTCTGATTGTTCGGTAGTTTCATTCCCTTAGTTTATTCGAATGAAAATACCGAACAACCAGACCTCCCCTGTGTGAAGTGTGTCCTCAATTACCCGTTGCAACATTGTTGCGAACGGGTAATTGACTAGTAAGTAGCCGTCCTTTGTTCTCGGGGGTGGCCGCCATTCGACAAACGAACACGTGGCGGCGGCCATTTTAAAACTCCCGAACAGCGGTGTTTTGCCGTCGAGTGTCTGGAACTAAAATCGGACACTCGAGTAGGCGAACACCGCTGAGACCTCCACAAGCCCGGTCCGTTCGGTTCCAAACTACCGAACGGCCCCTCGTTCGGTAGATAGAAAGAACCGAACGAGGGGATTCAGGCGAACCCTCCCTAGCCTCTATAGCTAGAGGTTTTCGTGTATTTAATTCCCTTATGCCAGGACCGACCGCAGGGCCCATTCGCATGGAACCTCATTCGGCTATCTCAGTTAGTGCGGTCGGTCATTTTATTCCCTCCATACATTTCCCGAACCCCTGGTCTGATCTGGGTGATTTTTGGATATGTTGTTCACCCAGATCAGGGGTATCTGGGGATGTAGGATTTAAAGCGGTACCCCTACGTTTAGGGGTACATCCAGAAACGGGGGGAATTACTGTACTGGATAAGGGGATTATGATGCTGGCTGAGGGGAGGAGATGTGTGGGAGGTTACCAGGACAGGATTGGCTACTGTAATAATTATTGTAAATCCCTCCCTTGCATGGGAGCATGCTTTAAAAGGAGACTGTGGATTAAAGCTTTCAGTTCTGCTCCTGAAACTGTGTGTCGTCCAGTTATTGGGATTGCTGTGGGGATATTGCTGTTATTTTACCTGCTGGAAACCTTGCCTGTGGATTTATTATTTGCTTGTTCCTGAGCCTCACTTGGATCATAAGCGGAGATAACCTGGGGAATATTGCATCTCCGCTACAATGTAGTTGTAACCAGACAAGTTGGACACACAGGAATAGAGGGGTCGAGAGCCCTGCTCAATGAGCTTACATGCTAGAGGAAGTGGGGTAAGGAACAGAGGGGTATAATGTATTTTTTAATTTTTTTTTAATTTTTATTATCAAAATAAATACATCAATATTGGCATTTACCTTCCTCCCCCCAACAAACAATCCTTACAAACACACATCACCCTCACCCAGCACCCTAGCATACACACACATCCCCCTCACACAGCACCCTAACAAACACACACACACATCACCCTTGCACAACATCCTAACACAGCACCCTAACACACACACATCACCCTTACACAGCATCCTAACACAGAACCCTTACACACACACACACTCACACACATCACCCTCACCCAGCACCCTAACACATATCACCCTCACACAGCACCCTAACACAGCACCCTAACACACACACATCACCCTTACACAGCATCCTAACACAGCACCCTAACACACACACACACACCACCCTCACACAGCACCCTAGCACACACCCATCGCCCTAACACACACACAGCACCCTCACACACACACAGCACCCTTACTCACACAGCACCCTAACACACAGCATCCTCACTTACACACACATCACCCTCGCACAGCACCCCCACACACACAGGTACTGCACCCTCACACACACATACTGCACCTTCCCACACACACACTATACTTCTCACAAATGCACACTACACCCCTCCCACACACAGCAGCCCCTCAAACATGCTGCACCACTCACACACACACACACACAATACTTCCAAACATATATGTATATATACTACAGAACCCCCTCACACACATACTGCACCCCTAAACACATAAATTCCAGACAAACACTAGATTCCTTACCCAACTCTGGATCATCTACAGATATACACACACTAGCTCTCTATATACACTCTGAATCTTCTATACACACACACACACACACTAGATCTCCTATACACACTCCTGAGTCCTTCAAACACACACTAGATCCCCTACATACAGACGTTGCACCACCTACACACACACACTACATTTCTGACATACACACTCTGGATCCCCTATGCACACACTAGATTCCATTTAAGCAAACATATAGTGTCTCCATAAATGAGATACAGTGAGTATCACCCCCTGAGACAAGTTTCAAGCAAACACAACGCAAGCATGTTATTAAATTTGCTTGCGCTGTGCAGAACAACTACAGGGCCCTTTTCTCATGCCCTGGAAGAGCATTGAACCAACATGCTCACTTTGGGGGGGGCGTGTTTGTCATTGGTGATGACGAAACACACCCTCTACCCCGCCCCCTTCTTAGTGGGCCGCTGTGATAAAAAAATGCCCAGGCCGAATTTTTCTCCCAGTCCGGCCCTGCCTGTGTTCATGCACACAAGTCAGTGTGTATAAATATGACACTCAGTTAACCATCATAGTCACACTCAGTCAAGACCCACACACAATCACGCTCGGCAAACTCTTGGACAATCACACACAGCGATCACAGATATCCCATTTAAGTCTATTGCTTAGGGAGGGGCAACGAGGGCCCTTGTTTGAATCTTGCCCTTCTAGTTAGTCCCTTAATGATAATATGAAAAATCAAAGGAATATACACATGGTTATTCAATAAAGTAAGAATTGCTAGAAATACAAAGTGAATTTAAAATGTAATGCCTACATAATCATAATAAACAACAACATTGACTTGTATAATTTTTCGAATACAACTATTTAAATCTGTATTTTAAAATTCACTTTTCCCAGCAATTCTTACTTCAGAGAATAACTCTGACAGTGTTTTTAAAGTTATATTTAGCGTTTACTTAATTTAGCGTTTACTTAATACTTAACATTTGGTTTTTGAAGGGCCCAGAATCTAAATTTGCCCGGGGGGCCCAGAAGGCTGTCAGTCCATCACTGGGAAGGCGGTAAGAGCGGGGTACAAATATTATGTTATGAAAAGGATAACCGAAAAGAAAGAAAAATGTCAGTGACACATTAAAGGCTTACTCCAAGCATCGTAAACACTACAGCCTGCTGAAGTCAGGGCCAGATTCTCTATTAGGCAGAGACCTGCCATCAGGCACCTATTTTTTGCACTTATAATGTGCCTTTTTAAACCTTGGCCTGTGTTGTCTGTAGCCCAGTCAGCCTTAAACTATAGTCACTGGAACAACTACAGCTTATTGAATTTGTTCTGGTGTGTAGAATCATTACCTTCAGGCTTTTTGCTGTAAACACTGTTTTTTCAGAGAAAATGTAGTGTTTACATTGATACCGGAGAAACTGACGGAAGCAAAGCACAGAGAGATGGACACAGGTTTCTTCAGGAAGGAGGAGATTCTTTATTGGATCACCGATCGGGACTCAGAGGGACTAATGTCACCAAAAATACAGCAAGTTCTGAGCCCTGAACAATAGTGCAGGCTCCCTATATAGGCACATAACTCCTCCCATTAATAGCTACACCCACATATACCTTTAACCAATCAATGAGCAGAATATAGACTTGTACATCTAGTCAAACCACATGGCCCATCCAAGACAAAGGAAATAAGTGCAATTTCAGTTCCTGCATTCCTGCACATGCTCAGTACACTGATGACAGTATCCTAGCTACATGTAGCTAACCAACTGACACAACATACACATATGCCACATGGAGATTTTGGCCTACTAAATTTTAACCATGCTGGAATCCCATCACAACATTACAGCCTAGTGATAACTTCACTGGCCACTCCTCAGATGGCTGTTAGAGATCCTTCCTGGGTCATGGCTTCCTAAAATGCATCCAAACATTCAGTGTCTCCTCCCTCTGCATGCAGACACTGAACTTTCCTCATAGAGATTTATTGATTCAATTCATCTCTATGAGGAGATGCTGATTGGCCAGGGCTGTGTTTGAATCATGCTGGCTCTGCTCCTGATCTGCCTCTTTGTCAGTCTCCAATCCTATGGGGAAGCATTGTGATTGGATCAGGCTACCACTTCTGATGATGTCAGCAGGCAGTGGGCTGGTCTAAAGCAAACAGTGACAATGCAAGTAGCTCCAGACTTGAAAACAAGTAAGATTTCTATATTTATGGAGGCATGAGAGGGACAGGGGGGCTAGATGGTGTTTTTAGCCCTATAGGGTCAGGAGTACATGTTTGTGTTCCTGATCCTATAGTGCTCCTTTAACATCAGAACTGCAATACCTGTTACAAAGGGTGTAAAACTCAATGCTTTCCTATAGGGTTTTTCAGTTTGCTGGATGTGCTCATGCAAAGCGTGAGGATATCCAGCGTTGTTTCACAGAATCAAACTCAGTAAAAGGTCAGGAAGCGCCACTAGCGACAGTCTTAGTGTCTCTAAAACTGCACCTGCAAGTTTTACACTGCAGGGCTAAGGGGGACAGAGACACGGCACCCAGACCACTTCAATGAGCTGTAGTATTCTGGGGGCCTATAGTGTCCATTTAGCAGCTCCTCCACTGTCTATATGCCCGGCTGGAAAGGTAGAGGAAGGCTTTCTAACTATTTGTGAAGACAAATAGCCCTTCAGACTCCAGCACTCAAAGCCTTAACCTCAAAATGTAAAATATACCCTTTACCTTAATCCTGTGTTTAACACCTCTTAAATTCAATAATCCTAGAGTACTCCCGTATCCTAATGCTAAATTTAACCCAACTCTAGCCCTCAACTCAATAACCCTAAAAAGCCTTATACGACAACTTTGAACCTTCTCGAACTGTTAATATTATTAACACTAAACGCCCTATGTAATCTAACCCTTTTTATCCTTTACCTAACCACCTCTAACATTATCTTGAGCACTCATGTGATCGGCACCTGGTTGCCATCCCGGGGCGCCATTTCTGCATTCAGGACGCTGATACCAAAATCTTGAAGCCTTGAAATTCTTACTCCTCTGCGAACTAAACAAAGGACATTTTTTAGCAAACCTGTACATGTAACCCCTATATTGGGTGAGAGTCACCTTATACTATTGAACTGTTTTGTTTTTTCTTGGCTTATGTCATGTTTTCTATTGTTCATTTTACACTTTTGTTTTTCTTAAAGGAACACTATAGTCACCTAAATTACTTTAGCTAAATAAAACAGTTTTAGTGTATAGATCATTCCCTTGCAATTTCACTGCTCAATTCACTGTCATTTAGGAGTTAAATTACTTTGTTTCTGTTTATGCAGCCCTAGCCACACCTTCCCTGGCTATGATTGACATAGCCTGCATGAAAAAAAAAAACTGGTTTCACTTTCAAACAGATGTAATTTACCTTAAATAATTGTATCTCAATCTCTAAATTGAACTTTAATCACATACAGGAGGCTCTTGCAGGGTCTAGCAAGCTATTAACATAGCAGGGATAAGAAAATCTTAATTAAACAGAACTTGCAATAAAGAAAGCCTAAATAGGGCTCTCTTTACAGGAAGTGTTTATGGAAGGCTGTGCAAGTCACATGCAGGGAGGTGTGACTAGGGTTCATAAACAAAGGGATTTAACTCCTAAATGGCAGAGGATTGAGCAGTGAGGCTGCAGGGGCATGTTCTATACACCAAAACTGCTTCATTAAGCTAACGTTGTTCAGGTGACTATAGTGTCCCTTTACCCATATATTTGTGTAAAGCAGGGCTTGACAAATTTGCTTGGGATCTAGGAGCCTGCTTAAAATGTTAGGAGCCATTTTTTTTCAACAACGAAAATACAATTCTTAAAGGAACACTATAGTCACTAGAACCACTACAGGCTAATATAGTGGCTCTGGTGTCTATAGCCTATCCCTGCAGACTTTTCCACGTAAACACTATATTTCCAGAGAAAAGTTTACATTGCTGCCTAGTAACATCTCTAGTGGCAGTCACTCAAACGGCCACTAAAGTGTTTCCTAACTGCATGGAGACGCAGAATGCTCCCCAAAGAGATGCATTGATTTAATGCATCTCTATGAGGAGATGCTGATTGGTGCAGCATTTTACTGCGCATGCTCAATAGCTCCCAGTGCTTTCCTACAGGAAAGCATTGGAGTTGCTGAGATCATCAAGATTGATAATCTCAGCTATGGAGACTGGCACAGCGTTGGGGAAAAAAGGTGAGTAAAAACACCATTCCCAATTGATTGAAGGGGCACTGGTGACCTAAACCCGCACACTTACTAACAGACACCTGGACTGATACACACACACTCACTGACAGACAGACCCACACACACGCACTGACTGACAGACCCACACACTCACTGACTGACAGACAGAGACTCACACACTCACTGACTGCCAGACAGAGACATATATATTCACTGACAGGCAGACAGACACATTCACTGACAGACAGACCCACACACTCATTGACTGACAGACATACACACTCACTGACTGACAGACACATACACTTACTGACTGACAGACAGACATACACTTACTGACTGACAGACGCATACACTCACTGACTGATGGGCAGACAGACAGACACTCACTGACATACAGACACACTCAGTGGCAGACAGACAGACACATCCACTTACTGATTGACAGGCAGACACTCACTGGCAGACAGACACACAAACACACACACTGAAACAGGCAGACACACACACAGATTTTTAGATACACACATTCAAACACACATAGAGACATACACACGATATATACACACAATGTCACAGATACCCACATAATTTTTTTTTTTTAAATACATATTTTTAGCCACCCTCCTGTTTCCTACTTTTTGGGTTCAGAAGGGTGGCTTCCCTGGGGTCTAGTAGGACTGGGCAGCAGGTGGTTGCAGTAGGGCTAGCTGCGGCTGTTGG